CAACAGCCTCCGGGAGAAACCCTCTCCTCTTTCCCCCAGCCCTACTGGCCTCCTCTATATCAAATATCCATCCCTACGCAGGGACCACTCGCTGCATCAGCTGTAACTGGAGGAGTAACAACATCTTGGGCCAAGGGGAGAGCTTTGTATATATAAGCAGGGCTGTGTTAATGTCATACACAATGGCCTGCTTGTAGATTTCCCCCCCCCATACCTCCTTGCTCCCTTACACTAATGTGTGTATCTGCCAAACAAAACCAAGACCGCCCCCCTGCCCCCTCCCCAATGTAATGCAGCCGCCCTAGGTAACCACATTTGGTTGCATTCGCCCCTTCCCTGTACCTGAAGTTTCCTTCTGTTTCAGAATGTCGATGGCAAGCTCCTTTTTCTACTTCTATTGTTCTCATAAGGTTGCATGAAATGTCATCAACAATCACACTTTTTTTAAATGCTTGATCCCACCCCCCGTGCCTGTTTCACGTTCTCGTTTTTTGAAAATATATATATTTTATTTTCATTTTTTAAGCAAGTTTTTTAATACATTCACATCCTTTTCAAATTGTGCGCTCCTGGCATTACTTAGATCCCTCGGACTTCCCCCCACCCCCACCCCCGATTTCCAAATTTCCCCCTAATTCTTTGCATCTAACTACATTTTTTCTAGGGTGGCGCTGTGGGTTAAACCACAGAGCCTAGAGCTTGCCAATCAGAAGGTCGGCAGTTTGAATCCCCACGACGGGGTGAGCTCCCATTGTTCGGTCCTTGCTCCTGCCCACCTAGCAGTTCAAAAGCATGTCAAATTGCAAGCAGATAAATAGGTACCGCTCCAGCGGGAAGGTAAATGGTGTTCTCGTGTGCTGCTCTGGTTCGCCAGAAGTGGCTTAGTCATGCTGGCCACATGGCCTGGAAGCTGTACGCCGGCTCCCTTGGTCTATAGAGCGAGATGAGCGCACAACACATGAGTCGTCCACGACTGGACCTAATGGTCAGGGGTACCTTTACCTTTACCTACATTTTTTCTAGTTCATTTTGTCGCTCTCCCCCCCCCTTTAACTAATATTACATTATACGTGTTACAATAATCCTGCTAATGTTTTTAAGTATACACAGTGGTCTTACATTCTATAAACTTTACCCACTCTTGATTGAATTTCTTATCGTTTTGGTGCCTGATCCTCACGGTAATCTTTGCCATTTCAGCATAGTCCATCATCTCAGTTATCCACTCATCATTGGTCAGGGGACTTTTTCTTCCTTCCACTTCTGGGCAAGTAGCATTCGTGCTACTGTTGTCGCGTACATAAATAGTCTTTTGAATTCTTTTGGTATTTTGTCTCCTGTTTGTTGTTTAGTCTTTTGCTCGTGTCCGACTCTTTATGACCCCATGGACCAGAGCATGCCAGGCACTCCTGTCTTCCACTGCCTCCCACAGTTTGGTCAAACTCATGCTGGTAGCTTCGAAAACACTGTCCAACCATCTCATCCTCTGCCAACATCAGGGGCTTTTCCAGGGAGTCTTCTCTTCTCATGAGGTGGCCAAAGTATTGGAGCCTCAGCTTCACGATCTGTCTTTCCAGTGAGCACTCAGGGCTGATTTCCTTCAGAATTGAGAGGTTTGATCTTCCTGCAGTCCATGGGACTTTCAAGAGTCTTCTCCAGCACCATAATTCAAAGGCATCAATTCTTCGGCGATCAGCCTTCTTTATGGTCCAGCTCTCACTTCCATACATCACTACTGGGAATTGTCTCCTGTTAACCCTAGTAAAAAGGCTTCTGGCTTTTTTTCATAAAAGTTATCTTAAACACTTTTTTTCAATTCGTTATAGGGCCACTTTCTCCCCCCGCATCCCTTTCCTTTTTTTGTCTAATGTTCCAGTTTTCATCACGGAATACATTCATTTAGCGGACCTTGGACTAGGGCCAGGGAGGCTTGGGTTTAAATTCCTCCGCTGTGAAGCTCACAGTGTGATCTTGGGCCAGTCACAGTCTCTCACCCTAACCTACACCGCAGGACTGTTGTAAAGACAAAAAGGAATACTAACTCCACGAGTTCCTTGGATGGAATAGCAATGTCATAAAATGCACTTTGAATGAACTCCCAATTATTTTGTAGCTGGGGGCGAGCCAGATAAATTTTTAAAATATTCTTTGGGGATCTGGCACTCTCATCCACCATGATGGCTTTGAGAGCCTCTCCTGTACCATTTGCCTATATCTTTGAATGCTGTTAACGTGTGAGAGAATGCGGAAGAGAGCAGTCTTTCCGTTTAAAGCAGGGTTGTGGAACCTTCGGCACTCTTAATGGTTTTTTCGAACTACAACTCCCATCATCCCTGTCCATTGGCTGTGCTGGCTGGGGCTGATGGGAATTGGAGTCACCTGGAAGTGTGTTGCAGTCAGCATAGGCTTCACATTTGTGCCTAAGGCCAAGCTAGATTAGAAGCAGAATAGGAATTCTGGCTATTACGTCTTGAATAGCTTTCATATATCCAGACGGTTGAAAATATTTATATCCAGACTTTCCAGTCAGTCGCTCAAGGTGACTCACATTAAAACTGTTAAAACCCTTAAACGATGAAAAACAACAATAAAACCTGCATGTGTTAACTGAGGCATCCGATTTGTTTCCTCCTTCCCTAAGACAAATCACCCAGGGCTGGTTCCCAACAGCTATGCCAGTTAAACTGCCGCAGTTTCCCATCCCTCCCTCCTGAGGGAACCACAGTTAATGCGAAAGGGGGAAAGGATCTTTTACCATTCTCAGCTCCCTCATAAAACTGCTGTTCTCTTGAGGAAGCCATGACAGTGTTGGGACTGGCAGAGGTGAAGCAAGTGTTGGGAAGATAAGCTTGGCAAATACATGAGCTGGTGAGAAGTCGGGCTGGCCAGCTGAGAAAACAAGAAGCAAATGGGGGGTCGTGCAGTGGCAGTTTGGATCTCACACCTGCAATTTTTGCAGGCTGAGTCAACCAGGGCAGAACAAGAGGCTTCATAGGGGCTGGTGGCATCCTGTGGGCAAGTTCCCAGAGCCCTGTAGTAGCTGCAGTACCCAGCCATGGGTGGCACAGTTGCCTAAGCATAGCTGAGGGTAGTCTAGAATGCCCCCTTTTCTAGCAAGCTGACCTCTTGGTACCAAGAGTGGGATGATGTTGGGTTTCTGTTTATGCCACTGTGCAGTTTTTGGAGTCACAAGACTCTGTTTACATTCCAGACTGTTGGAAGTCTCAAGGGATACGGGAGACGGATGTTGTTGTTACTGGTTTCCTGTTTCTTTGTCTCAGTTGGTTCGCTGACCCTCACAGAGAGAGGATGTACCGTATTTTTCGCTCTATAGGATGCACCGGACCATAGGACGCACCTTGTTTTAGAGGGGGAGAACAAGGGAAAAAATTCTCCCCCTCTCTGCTCAGCGCCCCTTCAGCGAAGCGGCAGGAGCAACGGAGCCCCTTCCATTTCTCCTCCCGCTTCGCTGAAGGGGCGCTGCACTAAGAGGGGGATAATTTTTTCCCCTTGTTCTCCCCCTCTAAAACAAGGTGCGTTCAACTGTGCTGCCCCCTGAGCTTGTAGGGCTGGCGGTGGGGGAAAGTGCTGCTTTACCCCACCGCCAGCCTCAAAGATCCCTGAAGCCTTCAGAGCGCAGCGCGAGTTCCCACTGTGCTCCACAGGCTTCAGGTTCCTTTTGCTGAAGCCGGGAGAGCAAGACTCTCCTGGCTTCAGCGAAAGGAACCTGAAGCCTCCGGAACGCAGCACCGACCCCTCTCACTCTCCAGGCTTCAGCAAAAGCAACGCGAAGCCTCCGGAGCGCGGAGGGAGCGCTCCCTCTGCGCTTTGGAGGCTTCACGTTGCTATCGCTGAAGCCAAGGAGCCTGCATTCGCTCCATAGGACGCACACACATTTCCCCTTAATTTTTGGAGGGGGAAAAGTGCGTCCTGCAGAGCGAAAAATACGGTATATTCTTTTCTGTCTGCGTAGTTAGAAATAAAACGTAGCGATGTAGCTCATATATTTCTTGTCCTTCTGCTGCTGTCTGGATACTCTGCGTAATGGGAACGTGCCTGCAGCCTCATCAAAGGCTTAGGTCGTTAATCACCGTCGGAGGACACAAATGGAGGAGTAGCTTGGCCGTATGGAGTTCCGACAGATAACTGGGTCTGGCTGCCAGAGCCCTCTGTTGGACTCCCTAGGCATCCAGATTGACCAGTTGAAACTCTGTTATTTGTTAGCCCAAAAATGGAAAACGAGCGAGGTCCCAACCAAAGAAGAGTGGCAACTTAAGTTGACAGAATATGCACAACTCGCAGCCTTAGCATATAAAAGAAGAGAACAAGCAGAACATAACATTTAGAGAAGATTGGAAAATGTTTATTGAATATATGGGAAATAGCTGTGTACAGCTGAAAACGCTGGCAGCATGAGGATAAATTCAACAGTGTAAATAAGTTTTGATGGATGCAATAATGGAATGGTTTAAGGTAAAGGTAAAGGTACCCCTGCCCGTACAGGCCAGTCTTGACAGACTCTAGGGTTGTGCGCCCATCTCACTCAAGAGGCCAGGGGCCAGCGCTGTCCGGAGACACTTCCGGGTCACGTGGCCAGCGTGACATTATCTACTTGCACCCGGGAGTGCTTTCGAACTGCTAGGTTGGCAGGCGCTGGGACTGAGCAGCGGGAGCGCACCCCGGCCGCGGGGATTCGAACCGCCGACCTTTCGATCGGCAAGCACTAGGCGCTGAGGCTTTTACCCACAGCGCCACCCGCGTCCCAATGGAATGGTTTAGTTTATGTAAAATATGCAGGGATTTATGATAAGTGAAATGAACCATAAAAAGAGAAGAAGGGAAGTCATTGATATCTTAAGGATGCAAAAATGAGGACATTAAATTGTAAAACAGGAAATTTAATAAAAATTATATATATATTTTAAAAGAAGCAGCTTTGTAGCGCCAAGTAAGCCTTTGGCGCCAAACCAACCTGACTGCCTTTCTTTCCTTCCCTGCAGGTCTGCGGTGAGAAGAACCGCTTTGAGAAGCTGATGGAATATTTCCGAAATGAAGACTGCAACATTGATTTCATGGTAATGCAAAGGCTGGGAGCAAAGGTCACTGTTTAGCTTCTTGTCCCTCCCTCCTCAAACATACCATCACAAATAGATAGTGTACACACACACACACACACACACACACACACACAGCCTTGCTGCCTTTCGCCTTATTTGCACACATTTCTGAAATGTCGATTAAAAACAAAACATTGGCTTATCTTTTTTTTAGTTTACTTTGGTTTGCCACCCATGGTTTGTTTAGAGGAAACAAGCCACAATCCCAGATTTGAATGCCACAACAGTGCAGACGATGATATTCCAGTCTGGTACAGTGGTGCCTTGCAAGACGAAAAGAATCCGTTCCGCGAGTCTCTTCGTCTTGCGGTTTTTTCATCTTGCGAAGCAAGCCCATTAGCGGCTTAGCGGATTAGCGCTATTAGCAGCTTAGCGGGCTTAGTGGATCAGCTGATAAGCGGCTTAGCGGCTTAGCGGATCAGCTGATAAGCGGCTTAGCGGATCAGCTGATAAGCGGCTTAGCGGATCAGCTGTTAAGCGGCTTAGCGGATCAGCTGATAAGCGGCTTAGCGGCTTGGGAAAAAGGGGGGGGGAGGGAAAAAACCCTGCAGGAACTCGCAAGACATTTTCGTCTTGCGAAGCAAGCCCATAGGAAATTCGTTTTGCGAAGCACCTCCAAAACGGAAAACCCTTTCGTCTAGCGGGTTTTCCGTCTTGCGAGGCATTCGTCTTGCGGGGCACCACTGTATTGGGAATAGAAATGTCCCTATGGTGACAAGATTCTTCAGGCAGCATCTCCGGTCCTCAACCTTGCTCCTTCCTTGTTGCTGTCTTTTGAGCTAAAGGGAATGCGGTTGAGCAGCTGGAGCAGCCAAACAAACAGGCCAGACTCTTCCTTTTGTATTGTCCTTTGGATTTTGCTCCACGTCGTTGGCTATCACTGGCGGAGACAGAGAAACAAGGAAATTGGGACGTCAGGGCATCAATAGGTTCTATGAGATAAAACAGAGCAGGGTGTGGATAGGGTTGTGTCCAATTAAGTGCTACTAAGAGTAGACCCACTGAAGTTAATGCACCTAGGTTAGTGCTGTCCATTAATTTCAATGGCTCTATTCTGAGTAGGACTATGGATCCAACCCATAGGTACTGTTTGTTGTCGTATCTCAGACATCATCCCTGTTTTGTTTTGAGACGGCAAATATAACAACAACAACAATAACAACAACGGTAAAGGACCCCTGACAGTCAGTCACGAATGACTCTGGGGTTGCGGGTGCTCATGTCACTTTACTGGCCGAGGGAGCCAGCGTTGTCTGCAGACAGATTTTCCGGGTCATGTGGCCAGCATGACTAAGCCACTTCTGGCGAACCAGAGCAGCACACGGAAACGCCGTTTACCTTCCCGCCAGAGTGGTACCTATTTATCTACTTGCACTTTGACGTGCTTTCGAACTGATAGGTTGGCAGGAGCTGGGACTGAGCAACGGGAGCTCACCGCGTCACGGGGATTCGAACTGCCGACCTTCCGATCGGCAAGCCCTAGGCTCAGTGGTTTAGACCAGAGTGCCACCCGTGTCCCCAATAATAAAAATAATAAGTAATACCTCAGCCACTCTGGGCAGCTCCCAAATTTTTTTAAAAACATGATATAACATCAATCCTTAAAAACTTCCCTAAACAGGGCTGCCTTCAGATGTCTTCTAAAAGTCAGATAGTTGTTTATTTTCTTGACATCTGATGGGAGGGCGTTCTACAGGGTGGGCACCACCACTGAGAAGGCCCTCTGCCTGGTTCCCTGTAAGCTCACTTCTCGCAGTGAGGGAACTGCCAGAAGGCCCTCGGAGCTGGACCTCAGTGTCCGGGTTGAACAATGGGGGGTGGAGACGCTCCTTCAGGTCTAGTGGGCCAAGGCCGTTTAGGGCTTAAAAGGCATCAACAAAGTGTTTAGGGCATCAACACTTTGAATTGTGCTCAGAAACGTACTGGGAGTCAATGGAGGTCTTTCAGGACAGCTACCCTTTTAAGGCTGTACTTTTGAGACGGTTTGGTTTATTGTTCAAGCTGAGAGCCAAGGATGGCAGGGCTAAACCTGCTTGAGCATCGCTGTATCAGAAGTGAATATATAAAAAATTAAATGCAACCGTGGAAAGTTGAAATTATAGCCTAATCAGCTGAATTGTATCAATATAACGAGGAGCTATGAAGAAATTCCATATAATTATAAAAGCAGGGATTATATACTAATATGCTCTCTATTTATTTAAAAAAAATCCCCAAAGGCTAAGAGTGTATACCTCAGAAGTCGAACGGAATCCGTTCTGGAAGTCCGTTCGACTTCCAGAACGTTCAGAAACCAAGGCACGGCTTCCAATTGGCTGCAGGAAGCTCCTGCAGCCAATCAGAAGCCGCGTCAGACGTTCAGGTCCAAAGAACGTTTGTGAACTGGGACACTCACTTCTGGGTTTGCGGCATTCAGGAGCCAAGGTACGACTGTACTGTGGTTAAAACCAATACGTATAAACAGATACAGAAATGAATGGAAATGTGACTATGAAACCCTGTTAAAGCTCATCGGTGCCAGACTAGTCCTACCCATGAGAACCTAGCCTGAAGAAAAGTGTAAAAAGAGGTACCCAGTTCCCAAAGATAATGTGCTCTCCTTTCCTTCCCAAAAAATCTAGGTTGCTTGCATGCAGTTCATCAATATTGTGGTCCACTCTGTGGAGAACATGAATTTCCGGGTCTTCTTGCAATATGAGTTCACACAATTGGGACTGGATGATTACCTAGAGGTAAGAGGGGTGTAACAAAAGCCTGGTTGTGGGTGGGTGTCTATTGATGGTGGTTATTTTAATGCATTTTTCATTTGCAGCCTTCTTAGTGATTCTGAGATGCCTTTCTTTCTCTGCGATGTGAGTTTTCTGAATCACAAAAGTTTCTGTATACAGTGGTACCTCAGTTTTCGAACGTCATCTGTTCCGGAAAACTGTTCGACTTCAGAAACTGAAGCATTTACTTACGGAAACATTTACGGAAAACTCAATATGGAAGCCACATAGCATGTTCAACTTCCAAAAGCATTCGAAAACTGAAGCATTTACTTCCTGGTTTTCGGTGTTCGAAAACCCAAACGTTCAACTTCCAAGACATTCGAAAACCACTGTACTCGCCTAAATATTTGAGATTCAATTTAACATGTTTGTTTGATTTGCTATATACAGTCAAACCTCATTTGTCAGACGTAATCCATTCCGGAAGCCCGTTTGGCTTCTAAAATGTTCGACAACCAAGGCTGATTGGTTGCAGGCGCTTCCTGCACTCAAGTGGAAGCTGTGTTGGACATTTGGCTTCTGAAACACATTCAGAAACTGGAGCATTTACTTCCAAATTTTTGACTTTCGGGAGCTGAAACGTTCCAAAACGGAGGTGTTCAGGATATGAGGTTTGACTGTACCAAACTAAACTAATAGTAATAATAATGGCATGCTAATATTAATTTTACATGCCGTGCTAATATCCCAAAAAGTTTTCTAAGAAACAAAAATAGACAGCCTGAGAATGGAATGGCTTCACTTCAGATTAGACCAGGCTCAATTGAGCCTGAAGTCCATTCACCATCATTCTACAAGTTTGAATTAGTACCCTCTGGCCAATGCAGTGAGAAAGTCAAAACAGCTCCCTTTTCTGGCAAGGTGTCCTTTTGGCACAGAGAATTAAGATGACTGGGTCTGGCTGCCAAAGTCCTCAACTTTGGCAACCCCACCTCACTTTAAGCATTGATTGCCATTTTTATTTCAGATTGGACTGGCATTGGATTTGTGCCATTTGCTCAATTTGACCTGTATAACTACCCCCCCCCCCCGGTATATCAATGCGTAGAAAGAATAACTTTCTAAAAATGGGGGGAAAGTGTGTGTGATACACACTTTTATGACACATATGAACAGGATTTGGAATTTTTGTTACCTACCTTTTAACAAGGTCTACAGCAATGTTATTTCATAGGAGATTTTGTGAGAATTGGAAGCTGCCTTGAAGTGTTGTTGATTTAGGGTAGAAACGGATGAAATAGAAAACAACAGTTGTAGGATGTGTTAGCCTCCCAAATAATTTAGCTCCAACTTGTGCCAAACCCTACAGGTCCCAACTTAAAGAAGAATGGCAACTTAAGCAGCTTGCAGACTTAGCATATGGAATAAGAGAACAAGAAGAACATACGTTTAAAGAAGATTGGAAAATGTTTATTGAATTTATGGGAAATAATTGTGTACAGCGGGAAACGCTGGCAGCGTTAAGATAAATTCAACAGTGTAAACAAGTTTTGATGGATGCAATAATAGAATACTGAATGGTACAGTTTTTGTAAAATATGCAGGGATTTATGATATGTAAAATGAACCATGGAAAGAGAAGAAGGGAAGTCATTGATAACTTAAGGATGTAAAATGAGTATTTTAAATTGTAAAACAGAAAATGTAAAAAAATATATATGCAGTCGTACCTTGGATCCCAAATGCCTTGGTACTCAGACGTTTTTGGCTCCAGAACGTTGCAAACCCAGAAGTGATTGTTCCGGTTTGCGAACGTTCTTTGGAACCCGAATGTCCAATGGAGCTTCTGCGGGTTCCAATTGGCTACAGAGCTTCCTGCAACCAATTGGAAGCCGCGCTTTGGTTTCTGAATGCTTTGGAAGTCAAACGGACTTCTGGAATGGATTCCAAGGTACAACTGTATATATTTTAAAAATATTTTTTAATGGCTGCACCATTCAGACACACCAATTCCGGTCTTGCCTGAATCCCCTTGTGGCACTGCTTGAAACAGGCTGCCTCCTTCCTTCTTCATTGCACAGCTAAGGCCAGCCGTAGCTTTAAACGCCACACTTTTCCTCTTTCGCCTCAACAGAAGCTGCGCTATTCGGAGAGCGACAAGCTGCAGGTGCAAATCCAAGCCTACCTGGACAACATATTTGATGTGGGCGCCCTGCTGGAGGACACCGAAACCAAAAACGCTGTCCTGGAGCACGTGGAGGACTTGCAGGAGGAAGTCGGACAGGTGGGGAGGGCTGACTAAGTACTCTGGGGTTGATGTACCTAAGCTGCACTGGGGGGGCAGTGGCTTGGCAAATGAAAAAGACTCTCCCCACTCACTAGCTCACACAAAAATGGGGAAAGGGCTCAAGGCTACCTGGGCCCCATCCCTGCAATCTGTATGCACAAAAGGGATGCGAGTGGCGCTGTGGACTAAACCACTGAGCCGCTTGGGTTTGCCAATCAGAAGGTCGGTGGTTCGAATCCCTGTGGTGGGGTGAGCTCCTGTTGCTCTGCAAAGCTCCTGCCAACATAGCAGTTCGAAAGCACACCAGTGCAAGTAGATAAATAGGTACCACTGTAGCGGGAACATAAACAGTGTTTCCATGCGCCTCTGGTTTCCATCACGGTGTCCCATTGCACCAGAAGTGGTTTAGGCCTGCTGGCCACACGACCTGGAAAACTGTCTGTGGACAAATGGCGGCTCCCTCGGCCTGAAAGTGAGATGAGCGCCGCAACCCCAGAGTCGCCTTTGACTAGACTTAACTGTCCTTTTACAACAACACCCCCCGCTAACCTTTCGTTTGAACAAGGGGGGCTGTTGGCTGTTGGACCCCCTTCCGTAGCATGTTGCTCACTGCCAGCTCCTTCTTTTCCCTGTCGCATATCCTGCCCTCCTGCAATTCACTCGCCCGTGCATTGTTTCTCTTTGCAGCTGGCAGAGAAACTCCAGGATGCCGAGAACGAATCCATGGCCAAAGTCGCAGAGCTGGAGAAGCAGCTGTGCCAGTCGCGCCGCGAGGTGGAGGCCCTGAGAGCACGGACCACGGGCAATGAGCAGGTATGGGCAGCAAGCTGCAGGCGCCATGGATTGTTGGAACCGGTTCCCAAAAAGAAACGCTTGGGGCGCCTTGCCATTTTGAACCAAAGCGTGATCTAATAATAATAATAATAATAATAATAATAATAATAATAATAATAATAATAATAATAATAATAGAAGAAGAAGAAGAATTTATATACCGCCCTAAACCTGGGGATCTTGGGGCGGTTCACAGTATAAAATCAAGCTATAAAACCACAAAATACATAATAAAAAGAAAAACAACCACCACCACAAAAACCACATTTTGGATGTCAATCAAATCAACCAAAGGCCTGGTTAAAAAGGAACGTTTTTGCCTGGCACCTAAAGGTGTATAATGAAGGCTCCAGGCGAACTTCCCTGGGGAGAGCATTCCACAGATGGGGAGCCACTGCAGAGAAGGCCCCGTTCTCATGTTGCCCCCCTCCGGACCTCTCAAGGAGGAGGCACACAAAGGAGGGCTGCAGAAGATGATCTCAGGGTCCGGGTAGGTTCATAGGGAAAGAGGCGGTCCTTGAGGTATTGCAGTCCTGAATACAGTATCCTGTTTTGAACAGTGGACAGCTAAAAATGCTGTCAGTCAGTGAGGGCAACACTCAGGCAGTGGTCTGACTCAGTGTTCCTAATTGGCTCTTAGGTGAGTGGCAGGCAGCAAGAATTCTAGAGTACAGGTGAGGAACCTTTTTTTTTTCTGTTGAGGGCAGCACTCCCTTGGGGGTGAGGTAATTTTGATGGAGCTGTCTCTTGGTGTTTGGTGAGGCCATTCTCCTTTCTCCTTTCTTTCCAGCAACCTCCTTTTCTCTCTCTCTCTTTCTTATGGTTGGTGGGGGGCTTTTTCCCTCTTGCTTTTTTTATTTGGGGCTGGAGAGGGAGGTGTAGCAGAGAGGTGTGCTTTCTCAATAAGCTTTTTAAAAGCTTACTGGGAAATGATATATAATGAATTGAAAAATAACGTTTAAAAACAAACAAAACCAGAAGCTTTCCTTTTGGGAATTATAGGGACCGAACTTCCCAAACTGTATAGAAATTTATTCATGTACAGCGGCAAGAATATTACTTGCCCAAAAACAGAAAGAAGAAGAAATCACAGCGAAAGTAGAATGGATACAAAAACTTACGGAATATGCATAATTGGCGAAACTTCCCAGAAAAATAAGAAATCAAGATAACAAACGGTTTATAAAAGAATGGAAATGGTTTATGGGATATTTACAAACAAACTGTGAACAGATAAGAATATTGGCAGGATTATTCTAATAATCTGCCACTTTATAAGAGATGAATAAATGATAAATTTATTTTTAATATTTTCTGCATATTCCAAATTAAGGAACCGCAGAAAGAGGGGGAAGGATGTCGAGTTCTGAAATGTTAAAACGATTGTAAAGTTTTTCAAATGTATAAAACTGAAAATCATAAATAAAATATTTTGAGAGAGAGAGGTGTGTGCTTTCTAAGTTTTCTGCCCAGTCCTCATGATTTTCAATACTGTCTTTCTTGGAACAGGATAGGACCAACAGTCCAAGGAGTCCCTCTTTGCTACAAATGCCCCAGCCTCAGGGGTCTCTGCAGTACCTTGCCTTGGAGCGCAAACTAGAGGAACTCGAAGACAAGGGGCTAATCCGGATTCTGCGCGGACCTGATGCAGATGTCATCGTTGGCATTGAGGTCATCCCGGTCATTGTGGAAGCCTCAGGAGCCTCTTCAGTTACGATTGATGCACCTTCGTCAACCAGCACAGGTACGTAGAGCAAACAATATGCCCATTTTGTGGCAGAAACAAAAGGTGTTGTCCGATCCCTCTTTTGTTGGGCTCTACCACATCGAATGGGACACGGGTGGCGCTGTGGGTTAAACCACAGAGCCTAGGACTTGACAATCAGAAGGTCGGTGGTTCGAATCCCCGTGACGGGGTGAGCTCCCATTGCTCTGTCCCAGCTCCTGCCAACCTAGCAGTTCGAAAGCACAAAGTGCAAGTAGATAAATAGGTACCGCTGCGGCGGGAAGGTAAATGGCGTTTCTGTGTGCTCTGGTTTCTGTCACAGTGTCCCATGCCCCAGAAGCCATTTAGCCATGCTGGCCCCATGACCCAGAAAGCTGTCTGTGGGCAAACACCGGCTCCCTTTGCCTGAAAGCGAGATGAGCACCGCAACCCCATAGTTGCCTTTGACTGGACTTAACCGTCCAGGGGTCCGTTACCTTTTTACCTTTAGCTTAAATTAATAAAGATGTGCTTCTTTTCCTTTCCAGATTTTCCTTCGCCGTCTACATCTCCTGTTCCTCCTCCTGCTCCTGAAATCCCACCAGCCCCGCCCCTGCCTTTCACCAAGGACAGCAGCTCCTTGGTTCCTTCATCCTCTCAAGAGGAAGCTCCTCCTCTTCCCCCTCCAGCTCCGCCCCTTCCAGGGACCAGTGTCCCTCCCCCTGCCCCGCCCCTTCCTGTGTCAGGAACTACAGCTCCGCCTCCACCACCACCGCCACCCCTCCTGCCAGCGGACGGTCCAGTTCCTCCTCCTCCTCCCCCTCCACCAATGGCTGATGGTACAAATCTCCCAGGAGTGACAGTAACCCCAGGTGAGCTCAGTCGGTAGAGCGTGAGACTCTTAATCTCCGGGTCATGGGTTCAAGCCCCATGCTGCGGTATAGATTCCTGAATTGCTGGGCGTTGTGCTAGATGTCCCTTGTGGTTCCTTCCAATTCTATGAATTTATTGTGAGCCGAAATCAGAAGAATCTTTATTTGCATCAGCCACAAGCCATCGCAATAAAATAAAATAAAATGTACTGAAGACAGAGGTATAAATTTAACTAGAGAAGAGACATTTGGGGGGCTTACGTCTATACTGTTTTAGTGTTGTTAGCCGCCCTGAGCCCGGCTTCGGCTGGGGAGGGCGGGATATAAATAAAATTTATTATTATTATTATTATTATTACTCAAATAATAGATCTTTTTCTAATTGCCCCAGCTAAAAACCTTGCACTTTTTGCTGTCACCTGATCATCTTGATCTGCTAAAGGAAAGGACACAGCAGCACTGGTTGAGCAACCCAGCATGGACAATAATAGAGGGGTAATAACCTCACTCCTCAATTTTTTATCAAGAGTGCAAGCACATGACTCAATACTGCCATCTCCACAGGGACATAACTGTTTTTCCAGTAGAATTCTTTGAAATCGACCCTCAAGTACAGCCGAAGGCAGTTTCTTCAATCCTGAGAGAGTGAAAGCATGTCTTGCCTTTGTGAGCCAGTCTTAAGAGGGTATTTCTAAGTGACTAAATTACACACATACTCACATTTTTGCAATACATTAAATCACTTTGCGTAATTTCCAGGGTTATTACTTAATGCAGAACATATCCGTCAGTTGAATCATATAAGTTTTGAACCATTAATCGATCAATTCAGTCAGCGTGTGGATAAGCTAATAATTTGTTTGTGTGATTTTTAGAGTGCCTGATGAACTGGGGAGGGACATGAACAGAGTTGGTAGATGTAATAGCTTAAGTGTGTGTGTGTGGGGGGGTGTCCTCTATGCCTGTCACATTTTTGTTCCCTGCTGAGCTCCCTTCCCAAGTTGCTTCCTCAGAAAACGGCACAGTCTCTCCATTCTTACAAATAAAGGCCGAGATTCTCAATACTTTCCTCACCAAATTTTAGTACCTCAGGAATCTGGGATCTGGAAAAATATTGCGTATCTAGCCTCTTCAGAAGGGGACGCGGGTGGCGCTGTGGGTAAAAGCCTCAGCGCCTAGGGCTTGCTGATCAAAAGGTCGGCGGTTCGAATCCCCGCGGCGGGGTGCGCTCCCATTGCTCGGTCCCTGCTCCTGCCAACCTAGCAGTTCGAAAGCACTCCCAGGTGCAAGTAGATAAATAGGGACCGCTCTGGCGGGAAGGTAACGGCGTTTCCGTGTGCTGCGCTGGCTCGCCAGATGCAGCTTTGTCACGCTGGCCACGTGACCCGGAAGTGTCTCCGGACAGCGCTGGCCCCTGGCCTCTTAAGTGAGATGGGCGCACAACCCTAGAGTCTGGCAAGACTGGCCCGTACGGGCAGGGGTACCTTTACCTTTACCATAGCCTCTTCAGAAAGTGCACTGTGAGTAGAAGCAGATGTTCTGTATTCTCACTTGCCTCGGAGCTGCATACATAGAATCGTAGAACTGTAAAATTGGAAGAGATCCTGAGGGTCATCTAGTCCAACCCCCCTTAAACAGAGGGGGAGGGGTTGTTACCCCATTTTGCCCTGACAACAGTTCTGTGCAGTGGGTATATTTCGAGAGACTCTGACATTCTGCAGCCCCTCAGGAAGTTGCCTTGTCTTCAGAGCCCAAGTCTCGACATCAGCTCAGCCATTCTGGTGGCTCCTGTGGGAATGTTGAGGGAAGTAGGAGAGGATATATTGATTAAATATTATCCCTCCTCACTCACGCTAGTGAGCAAGCAGCAGAGCACATTCCCTTGCACATTGCGGCAAGCAAGTTGATGGATTCATTAGAATCATTTAAGTTAAGCGATCCAGTCTGGCTTGTCCAGCCTGGATTGTTCCTGGTAAGTTTCCCCTTTTATTTAAAACAATAATAACACAACAGTCTTGTTTCAAAGTAAGAGGAAAGTTCACAGCCGTATTCTGAAGGCAGGCTTTATCTTGTGGTTACAGTTACATTTGTAGAGAAAAGAAGTCTGAGCTAGGCCTCAGACGTTCTACCTCATGGCTTCCATCCTCTGTAAGAATGAGCCGTGTGCTGCTGGCTAAGAGCCAGAAGAGAGGAAGATGGCAAAAGAGGAAGATGACTGCATGGCTAGCCCTTTTATAGGGTCTGCTAGGGTCACGCCCATCTACCTGGTCACACACAGGGGGAGGATGCTTCAGAACAGGTATGACAGGAAGTCCTCCCTTTCTGGGGCAACACTCCCCTGTGTGTCCACTCTAGGAAACAGGAAATGTTGTATTTGACTGCTTCAGTGACAATACATCCCACAGGTCCAGAGGTTGAAGGGGTTCAAGGGTTGGAATTGGTGTCTGTGGTTGCTAGACAACCACAGGATATAGGTGGACCACACCTGGGATGTCGTCTTCTCTCTGTGTACAATCTGTCCGAAGGCCCCCAGGCCCCAAAGTAAGGCTGGAAAGGACGAGATCTCTGATTTGGTGGGCTCTGACAGTCTCTGTTGTTCTTTGAAAGCCGTCAAGATCAAGAAGCCAATACAAACAAAATTCCGGATGCCCATCTTCAACTGGGTAGCTCTGAAGCCCAACCAGATCAACGGCACGGTCTTCAACGAACTCAACGACGAGAAGGTCCTTCAGGTACGTCCAGGCTAAGTTCCTCCCTCCCCGCTTCCTGCTCGTTCCCAACCCACGCTGTGCTCTCAATTTCTGACTTCCTCTCGTCGCAGGAGCTTGACATGAACGACTTTGAGGAGCAGTTCAAAACCAGAGCTCAAGGCCAGGCCCGTGAGCTCCCTGCCCTGAAGGCAAAGGCTTCCCAGAAGAAAGCCCCCAGCAAAGTGATGCTGATTGAATGTAACCGGGCCAAGAACCTGGCCATCACGCTTCGCAAGGCGGGGCTCAGCATCGACGGCATTTGCAAGGCCATCCAGGTGTGAGTAGCCTACACGCAAGGGACGGGTTGGTTCCCCCCCCTCTCCAATTCCTTTTCCCAGCAGAGTGGGCAGAGGAGGTGAGACTACATGGAGAGGCTGTTCCTGATTAAGAGCCGGCTCAGTAAGCAGGAACCCATCTCACTGATAAGGCATGCTTTCGCTGTCCCTAGCCTAGATGAAGCAGCAAGGCAACTATGTGTTCTATGTACGTTCTTAAGAGCAAGGAGAAAGGGCCACAGCAGAGTGGCAGACCATCTGCGGCACATGCAGAAGGTCCCAGCTTCAAATCCTCAGCATCTCTGGGTAGGGCTGGGGAAGACTGTCTAAAAAAACCCTCGAGAGCTGTTGCCGGTCAAGGTAGACCAGTGTTTCCCAAACTTGGGTCTTCAGCTGTCGTTGGACTACAACTCCCACCACCCCTAGCTAGCAGGACCAGTGGTCAGGGATGATGGGAATTGTAGTCAAAAAGAGTTTGGGGAAATCCCGATGTAGACAGATGTGAGCTACATGGATGCTGTGGTCTGACTCTGTATAAGGCAGTGCCCTATTTTTTGCTCTATAAGACGCACCAGACCACAAGACACACCTAGTTTTTGGAGGTGGAAAACAAGAAAAAAATTATTCTGAATCTCAGAAGCCAGAACAGCAAGAGGGATCGCTGCGCAGTGAAAGCAGCAATCCCTCTTGCTGTTCTGGCTTCTGGGATAGCTGCTCAGCCTGCATTCGCTCCATAAGACGCACACGCATTTCCCCTTACTTTTTAGGAGGGAAAAAGTGAGTCTTATAGAGCAAAAAAATACGATATTTGCACAAGTGCCACAGAAGCCGTTCAATAGCAGGGGGAAAGGCAAGTTTGGGAAACAGGCAGGGAACTTGTGTAAGATCCAAACGCCCGCAATAGCGTTGACCTGACGCGACCTAGAAGGGTTTATAGATGACTCCCAGGCAATTAGTTGCCCAGAATGAGAAGCAATTGGGACCAGTAGAGAAAGGTGGGCCTGTTGAATGCTCTAAACCACTGAGCCTTTTGGACTTGCTGATTAGAAGGTTGGCAGTTCGAATCCCCACAACGGAGTGAGCTCCCGTTGTTCTGTCCCAGCTCCTGCCAACCTAGCAGTTTGAAAGCACGGCAGTGCAAGTAGATAAATAGGTACAGGTGTGGCGGGAAGGTAAACGGCGTTTCCGTGCACTCTGGTTCCCGTCACGGTGTTCCGTTGTGCCAGAAGCAGTTTTGTCATTTTGCCCACATGACTTGGAAAGCTGTCTGTGGACAAAGGCCGGCTCCCTCGGCCTGAAAGCGAGATGAGTCACCTTTGACTGGACTTAAGTGTCCAGGGCCCTTTACATTTTTTTTACCCAGGCCTTCCTGTCTGTCTATGATGTTGGAGTGTTGGCCACCAACTTGGGATGGCTTTAGAAGGCAATCAGAAAAATCCAGGGACCGTAAAGCTGTCCTGGGCTACTATATTACCCACTGACATACTTGTGGTGTGTCAGTGGCCTTGAGCTATTTATGACCCTTTGTAAAGAGCTCCCAGCCAACTTGATGCCGGGGAAGATTGCATCCCTCATTATCATAGTTAAACAATGGGCTTCCCTGCCACAAGATGTGGTAATGACCAACAATTTAGATGGCTTTAATAGGGGATTAGACAAATCCACAAAGGATATCATTGGCTATTAAGCATGATGATTAGATGCAGCCTCTAGGGTCAGAGGGGTCGGTCAGCATGGCTTCTGATCTTTCCTGGCTCTGCTTTCTGAGATCCTTTTAATTGGACATACCAGGAACTGAACCTGGGACATAAAAACGCTGGGCTCTGACATTGAACTATGGCTTTCCCCCCAAGCACTGTAGTATTGACTGAGCAGCTAGGTTCGAATCTATCCACAAACGGCTGCCCTCACAAAGCGAGCTTTTTTGTGTGTGTGCTGCTTGAATCACAGACCCAATTTTCTGCTCCTGCCATCATGATTAAGTAGCTCATTTGAGTTCTGTCAATAGCCTTTGCGGTACTGCTTAAATATTAAAAGCTGTCGTTGGTTTCTTCTTTGGGGAATGGAGAACCAGGGAGCTAGTCCGACTTCATTACCTACAATCAGAGTGAATGGCTGTAGGGAAGCACTCCTCCCTTTGCCCCATGTTCTTAAGAAGGCACCGTGGTCCTCAGGGCCAGTACACCCATGGGGCAAGGTGAGGCAACTGCCTCAGGCGGCAAGATCCACAGGGGCAGCAGATCTTTATTCCCTCCTTGTTCATGATGTAGATCTTCGCTCGCCCTTTCTTCCCTGGCGGAGAGGGGAGGTGCCAATTTGTGGTTCGCTTCTGGTACCCATGTCTTGAGCCGGCCCTGCTGGGGCTTCTCTCGTTACCCAGCCGATGAATCCCAGCCTTTGCTTTGCTCCCATTCAGATACGACCTGCAGTCCCTCAGCCTTGACTTCCTGGAGTTGTTGATGCGCTTCATCCCCACGGAATACGAGCTGACGGTGATTCGCAAGTACGAGAAGGAGCAGCGGCCGCTGGACGAGCTTTCGGATGAGGACCAGTTCATGATTAAATTCAGCAAGATCCCTCGCCTGGCAGAACGCATGAACATCATGACCTTCCTGGGCAACTTCGGAGACACCGTCCAGCTCCTTCTACCCGTAAGGGAATGGAATAGGCAGCCAGGGGACAACTAGGGTGGGGGGCAACAGCAGGGGAACCTTTGCAGGTGCAGTCCGGACAGGTGTGCAGAAAGGACATAAAAGATGATGCAACAAATTGCCGCTTGCATTTTTGCAACACCTTTCTTTTTGGTACAGTGGTGCCCCGCAAGATGAATGCCTCGCAAGACGAAAAACTCGCTAGACAAAAGAGTTTTCCGTTTTTTGAGGTGCTTCGCAAGACGAATTTCCCTATGGGCTTGCTTCGCAAGACGAAACGTCTTGCGAGTTCTTGCAAGTTTGTTTCCTTTTTCTTAAAGCCGCTAAGCCGTTAATGGCCGCTAAGCCGCTAAAAGCCGTGCTTCGCAAGACGAAAAAACCGCAAGACGAAGAGACTCGCGGAACGGATTAATTTCGTCTTGCGAGGCACCACTGTATGGTATAGCAAGCCTGTTTTCAAGATGAAAATGCGGTTCTTGGGTTGCTTGGCTGTTTAGCTGGGGCAAAAAGCCTGTGTCGGGCTTTGGGCAATTGGCTTCCTTCCCCGTGGCCGTAAATAAGCAGATCAAACGAAAGGGAATTCTTACCAGTTAGTTTCTTTAATAAACACAGTGAAGGACAAAAGAAAGCACCTAACCAGAATGGCGGTGCTCCCAATTAAGGCCACACACCCCTTCCATCCCCATTAAGCTACGTCACTCCTACGTCTCGTAATCTGAGCTTGAACCCTCTGTGCTTTCTGTTCTGCCACTTCCTGAGCTCATTTACCCCCTTGCTACCAAAATCTTAACGTTTGACTCCATAATATTGAATAAATCTGAATTTTCAGACGTTTGGCACACTTTCAGGGCTTGGAATAAAAAGTTCACTTTCCGCATTTTGGGTTAGCGCCACGAAAGTGGCTATAGAGCTGGTGCAGGGGAAGGTGTCAGACAAAGCAGGGGAACTGATTATGCCGTTGTTCTTCCCCATCCACAGCAACTCAATTCCATCATCGCTGCTTCGATGTCGCTCAAGGCTTCTACCAAACTGCGCCAGATTTTGGAGGTGAGTTTCCTTAAAAATAAGGGCGGGTTTGCTCAGTCACAAAGAAGCAAGCCCACTAGTCAAACCCAAAGCATTAAATTGGTGACATCCTAAAATTCTGAGAGCTGAGACACATCCCCACCCTCCGATGGCAAGTATGGACACAAGTTATTGGAAAAGGCTGGCTTTTAGAGTGAGGTGCCCTCACAGGAGCTCATCCAATGTGTTTCCGTCTGAGTTGCTGCTATGAGAGCGCTCTGTTAATTTCGGAAGCAGGTAAGCCCAGAACATGCAAATACTCAACAGGCAGTCTCCTCTCACGGTGGGCAGTTTTGTTTGCATGGAAATGGGATCGTAGATCCAGACAAGTGTCCCCAGCCATCCGCGACTGATTGATTGGTTGTCTCTCATAGATTGTCCTGGCGTTTGGGAACTACCTGAATAGCAGCAAGCGGGGAGCGGCCTATGGGTTCCGCTTGCAGAGCCTTGACGCGGTAAGTGACGTGGATTGGGGAAGCATGGAAGACTTGGCACCCTCTTTGGGGAGCACGTCATGGCCGGACACTAAACAGCAGGGGGCCAGCTTGAGGGTTTGCACTGGCCTTGTGTGAGATTGTAGTGGACCTCTGTGTTTGCCAGAACAGCCCAGAAAACCACTGTGGGGGTGGGATCAGGATTCAGTGGCAAATCATTCTCAAACTATGGATCGGTGTTAGACACAGGTTGGGTGCAAGCAAGACTGATCCAGAACACGGCAGCCAGGCTGGGGACTGGGAGCGGCCTCCGAGACCACATAACACCGGTCCTGAAAGACCTACATTGGCTCCCAGTATGTTTCCGAGCACAATTCAAAGTGTTGGTGTTGACCTTGAAAGCCCTAAACGGCCTCGGCCCAGTATACCCGAAGGCAGCCAATCAGAAACAGTGCTTTGGTTTCTGAACGTTTTGGAAGTCGAACGGACTTCCGGAAGGGATTCCGTTCGGCTTCCAAGGTACGGCTGTACTAGCAAGAAAAATACCAAGTGATTTTTGTGAAATATTGGGGATTGGCTCCCTCACCCAACCCCCATTCTGACCCGTTTCTCTCTGTAGCTCCTGGATATGAAATCCACAGACCGGAAGCAGACGCTGCTTCATTACATCGTGCGGGTGATCCAGGAGAAATACTCCGACCTCACAAACTTCGCCAATGACCTGCACTTCCTGGAAAAAGCAGCCGCAGGTGCTGAGCCAGAGGGTTCTGGGCAAGGGGAGAACTTCACAGCGAAGGATGGGGTGCAGCTCCCTCCCTTTGGCCATGGGAATGCGCCAGAGGGGATAATAATACCCTTAAAAATACTTAGAGTGGTACCTCAGGTTACATACGCTTTAGGTTACATACGCTTCAGGTTACAGACTCTGCTAACCCAGAAATAGTGCTTCAGGTTAAGAACTTTGCTTCAAGATGAGAACAGAAATCGTAAGGAAGGATAACAACAGGAAGATTTAAAGAAGGAACTATAGGAAACTCAAGGCGGTAGAAACATAAGATGATTAGAACCCCACAGAACTTGAAGCATGGGAAGCCCCAACAAAAATTTATAATTTTTGGACTATATGATATGTATTTGTATAATTTTGAATACTTAATGTGATTTGATTGGATTGTTAAAATGGAAAATTTAATAAAAAATATTTTAAAAAGAGAGAGAACAGAAATCGTGCTCTGGCGGTGCGGCGGCAGCAGGAGGCCCCATTAGCTAAAGTGGTGCTTCAGGTTAAGAACAGTTTCAAGTTAAGAACAGACCTCCGGAATGAATTAAGTACTTAACCCAAGGTACCACTGTATTCTGAAGTTCCCCCTAGGTAGAAGTGTTAATTGGAGCCACGGCAGCTCGATTGGGCCAGCTTCGCCTCACGCTTCTTTCTCTCTTGGCTCTCACAGTATCCCTGGACAGCGTGCTCCAAGATGTGCGGGGCCTACAGAAAGGCATGGAGCTCACGCGCAAAGAGTTCATGCGCCAGGATGACAGCGCTGTGCTCAAGGACTTCCTCAAGGCAAACACAGAGGTGATGGAGAAGCTCCAGGCCGATGGCAAAACTGCACAGGTGAGGAGGAGGAGGAGGAAGAAGAGAGGCAGTGCTTAGTTCAGAAAGAGTTGTCGTGGCAACTATCGTGGCAACTCAAAATACGGGGAGATTTGAGCCTTTAAAAAAAGAAAGCTTGCCAGCAGCTCTTGGGGACCACTCAGTTTTGGGGCAGCGGTAGGGGACGCGGGTGGCGCTGTGGGTTAAACCACTGAGCCTAGGGCTTGCCAATCAGAAGGTTGGCGGTTCGAATTGCCACGACGGGGTGAGCTCCCGTTGCTCGGTCCCTGCTCCTGTCAACCTAGCAGTTCGAAAGCATGTCAAAGTGCAAGTAGATAAATAGGTACCGCTCCGGCGGGAAGGTAAACGGCATTTCCATGCGCTGCTCTGGTTCGCCAGAAGCGGCTTAGTTATGCTGGCCACATGACCCGGAAGCTGTACGCCGGCTCGCTCGGCCAATAAAGCAAGATGAGCGCCGCAACCTCAGAGTCGGCCACGACTGGACCTAATGCTCAGGGGTCCCTTTACCTTTAAGCTCTCATTGAATTGCCCGAGATTACATTTTATATATATATTGCGTTGGCATTTAACTCCACCTTTTCCCCATTTCCTCTCCACACCCGTGTGGATGTTTGTCTGTGTGTGGATGCATCAAACTCCTTGGAAAGCTTATTCCATTGTGTGGGCATGTGTGTTGTTTTTAAGGCGCCGCAAGGCTCTTTGCCATTTTTGCCAATAAAAAGAAAGCCTACACACCTTGATGTCAAGGCTGGCATAATCCATGGGTTCCCAAAGATCAGAGGCTTATTGCACAGGGCAACCGATAAATATAAGGAACAAATTTGAGGCAATGTGTTGCTGCTGACACAGCCGCCGCCCCGAAATTCAGAGTTGTGACTCTGTGGGGTTTTTTCTTTCTTTCTCTACAGGAAGCCTACGAGTCGACAGTGGAGTATTTTGGGGAAAACCCCAAGACTACCCCTCCAACAATGTTCTTCCCCACCTTTGTGCGCTTCGTCAAGGCATACAAGGTAAGACTCTTGCCTTTAGTTTGGGTGCAGCCTGTTTATTGACTGTGAGCCACACTCCTTGTGTCCCATATTTATTTGCATCGGGAAGATTCTAAATACCAACCAACTTTTGTAAAGATTGCCAACATAATGCAGATGGGGGACTTTGAATTCTTAAATCATGTTATGTGAATGCTAAGTGTTGAGGATTATTGTAGTAGTTACAGGGTCAGTAAAATGTGTTGCAGTGGTAGGCCACACACACTAGGCCACTGTCTTCCAAATAGTTTAGTTTACTGAAATAGTTTAGTTTACAGAAGTTTTTAATGTTTGATGTTTTATCATGGTTTTAATATTCTGTTGGGAGCTGCCCAGAGTGGCTGGGGAAACCCAGCCAGATGGGTGGGGTATAAATTGTTGTTGTTGTTAAGAATTACTGGATTGACTTAGAGTAGTCGTTCTCAAGCTTCTTTCTCTGGGCCACTCTTTCAAAATAAAAAATTCCTCACGCCACACTGATTTTTTTATTTATAGGAAAAAAGAAAGAGCTCCTAGCAGTGGTTGACATATGACGTAGAACACAACTACTTTATAATCGTAGTAGAATCATAGTACAATGGTACCTCTGGTTGCAAATGGGATCTGCTCCGGAAACCCGTTCACAACATGAAAAGCCCGCAACCTGAAGCTCCGTATCTGCGCAGGTGCGCAGTGCGATTTGGTGCTTATGTGCATGCGTGAACGGTGAAACACGGAAGTATCCCTTTCTGGTACTTCCGGGTCGCCACAGGACGCAACCTGAAAAAACGTAACGTGAAGCAAACGTAACATGTGGTATGACTTCATTGAGTTGGAAGGGGCACCAGGGGTCATCTAGTCTAACCCCCTGCAATGCAGGAATATTTGGCCCAGTGTGGGGCAAAATATGATCAAGGGACATCCAAGAAGTATAGAACAATGCAGCTACAGTGGTGCCTCGCAAGACGAAATTAATTCGTTCCGCGAGTTTTGTCGTCTTGCGATTTTTTTCGTCTTGCAAAGCACGGTGTCGAGAAAGTTTTGGAAAAGCTTCAAAAATCACCAAAGTCTTTAAAAACCTCAAAAAAGGCTACCACACCGCGTTCTATGAGTTGCTCCTCAAAGTCAAGTCGCAACTGTATTAACGGTGTTAAGAAAAAGGAAACAAACTTGCAAGACGTTTCCATCTTGCGAAGCAAGCCCATAGGGAAAATCATCTTGCGAAGCAGCTCAAAAAACAAAAAACCCTTTCGTCTAGCGAGTTTTTTGTCTTGCGAGGCATTCGTCTTGCGAGGTAGCACTGTACATAAGAACATGAATCATTCCCAAAAATAAAATTATAAGTGAGCCTCTTGCATATGTACCTTAGGTATGCGTACAAACTCAATGAGAGTTGTGAGCTTGAAGTGTTACTCGATGCTCGCTTTTTGAAAAGATATCTTTCCGTATTCTGCAATTTAAAAAAGACTATACTGCACTGAAATGTTAAAATGTTTGATTGTCCTTGAATCTCAATCCACACCAGTGTGGCATGCACACCCTTTGAGAACCACTGAGCTAGAGAAAGGAGAACTTCTCCCTAGTTTTTATATCCCGTCTCCTAGATAGCATTTGATACGAATCACTTTAATAGAAAGAGTGACTAGCTCTTGTAGATGTTGCTACAGGGAGGCAAGGATAGGTAAGGCTCCCCTTCGGGGGAAATTCCCCACCCCCCACCTACAAATGAGAACCATTGGTGGCCCCAGCGGGCAGTTGTAGGGCTAGAACGACAACGGCTGAATTAGCAAAAAGGTTTTCTACACCCCCATCCCTCCCTATCTTTATTACAAGTCACGTAATAAAGGACAAAGTTTGACTGTTTCAGATTGTGGAAGCAAAACAGGACCACCCAAAATAAGGCGGTGGTTCTTGCAGAGGTGAAGGTCTCTCTTAAGTATGCAGAAAGATAGCATTAGTTTGTAAACTAAGAAAGAAAGAAATATTTTTGGAAAACTCAAGGATCATGGAGCTTCCAGAAACCAGAGGATGTTGAGTATCTCTGCTGGGGAAAAGTGAAGCAGTTTAGTCAGCCTGAGACCTGAACAGCTTTTTGTATCCTGGCAGTGAGAGCTGGGGGAATGTGTGTGATGAGTTTTAAAACTCTGTTCTCCGGAAAGGTGGGCTTGCGAATCTGATAACTCTGTGATGCGACGTGTTTGTCACCATCTAGTGATGTACCTGCGATTGCTTAGTGAAGCTTATTTTTCTCTCTCCCCGCCCGGAAACAAGAAAGCGGAAGAAGATATCCAGTTGTGGAAGAAGCAGGAAGCAGCGGCCAAAGTGGAAGAGGTCAACTCCCCCAGCCAGGAAGAAAAGGGAGCTCCAAAGGTAGGTGTTAACACGTCGGAACACCTTTCCAAAACCATGTCCCCCTTCCTCCTGCTTTTTCTCAAAATGAAATGAGTTCTGGAATTCCCACCAGACTGTATTCAGCCATTGGATTTTGTGTTGGGGACCAAATCTAAACTCAGCCAAAAACCCTTTCTGCTTGCAGGATTCATATAATTGTTCTGTTGTCAGAAACAGCTGTTGGCCTTTAGAGGAGGAGAGGCGGGCGGAATATATATTTTTAAAAGAAGCATTGACTTTGCTAGACAGAGCGCTGGGCAACAGCGGCAGACGTACAGATGTATCCGATTCCCATTTGGCTCCCAAGCTTCTCTGATAAGGCATCTTGCTGTTCTGAAGTGCATCTTAGCAACCACAGGTGTGGATTGCAGGGGAAATGTCTAGCTTGTGTGTTGAAAATATGGTAGCTGGGGTGACTGGTGCCCATTTGCAGGAGGGAGTCCGCCAGTAGCTGGCTCCAGAGCCAACTCATTCTAGGTCTGTCCTCATCCTCCTTATCGAGATCCACAAGGGCAGCACTGAGACAGAGAAGCTGGTAGACCGTGCTACTCCCTGGATTTGTTGTAGGGTTTTTTTGTACTTTTTTGTACCGTTTAACAATTATTTGCAGACGTGGCTTTTTTGTTTTTGATTTCTTTGCTACACTAGTTTGCCATGTAGCAATTGCACTGTGCAATATTACAATAAGAGGACTGGGGGGAAACTATATGGATGTAATGCTTCCTACAGCTCGTGATAGTATTTCTCAGCGATTTAAATGTGACCAAGCCTTCTGTAAAGGTAAAGGGACCCCTGAGCATTAGGTCCAGTCGTGACCGACTCTGGGGTTGTGGCGCTCATCTCGCTTTATTGGGCTTCTGTACTTTGTCACAAAAAGCGGGTTTTCCAGGTGACTTATTTTGGTGAGTGTCAAAATAAGAATTTATGGTGTATTGCTGTCGAGATTCACTTTGAATTTAAATATATATTGAAGCAAAAATAAAAAAATAAAAATCTGCTGCTTTAAGCCCCTGGGAACAGACTGGGTAAAAAACAGTTTACAAAATCAAACAATGGATGGTATTCGGCAGCGACAAGCAGCAAACTGGTTCCCCCCTATATCTAGTACCTTGGACAGCTGCCTGATGGGTAGGCCGGTCCTGCGAAGAGAAATATCGTCTTCTCTTGGTACGTGCGTAACCACAGCAACTGCTTCTCTCTCTTGGCAGTCTCCCACCCACAAGGCCAAGCGGCAGCAGATGGACCTCATTTCTGAGCTGAAGAAGAAGCAGCTGGTGAAGGAGCCCCTCATTTACGAGGAGAAAGATGGAGCCATTGAGGACATTATTACAGGTGAGGAGGAAGGAGGCCGTTTGTTTTACTAGCGGGCTTTGAAGCCTCGGCAGATCCTCCGCGGAGGACCGGCGATGGGCCAGGCAAAGTGGGAGCTGCGTGGAATCGTGGCACCCGAGAGAAGCAACTTCCCGGTGACTTCTGAGCTGTGCAGTTTGGGGTGGCTCGGTTGGTAAAGCGTGAAACTCTTAACCTCAGGGTTATGGGTGAAGAGCCCCACGTTGGGCAAACAGATTCCTGCATTAGAGGGGTTTGTACTAGAGTGACCCACTCTGCGATTCTACAGCGAGGGGTAAAAGTATTTGATCCCCTGCTAAATTTGCCCGTTTGCCCTCTGACAAAGAAATGACCAGTCCATAATTGTAACGGTAGGTTTATTGTAGCTGTGAGAGACAGAATAACAACAGGAAAACCCCCAGAAACCCAGAAGTCAGAGATTGATGGGCGTTATAATGCGTGAAATAAGTATTTGATCCCTTTGCAAAAGATGACGTAGTACAGTGGTGCCTCGCAAGACGAAATTAATTCGTTCCGCAAGTCTCTTCGTATTGCGAGTTTTTCGTCTTGCGATGCACGGTTTCCCATAGGAATGCATTGAAAATCAATTAATGCGTTCCTAGGGAAACCGCCTTCAGACCAGGTCCGGGGACAGTCTGTCCCCCGACCTCTTCTAAAGACTGGGGGGGGGGGGAAACAAGGGCTTTTCTTCCCACCCCCAGCATTTTAAAAAACCCCGGGACAGCGGAGGACTTCTCCGCTGTCCGGGGCGATCTTAAAATGCTGGCGGGCGGCATTTTAAAATCGCCCCGGGACAGCGGAGGACTTCTCCGCTGTCCGGGGCGATTTAAAAGCCCCTGGGAAGGCAGGCAGGGGGGACAAAGACTTTTGCCCCCCAGCCTTCAGAAGAGGTCCAGGACCTCTTCTGAAGGCGGGCGGGGGGCGAAAGTCTTTGCTCCCCCCCGCCTGCCTTCAAAAGCCGTCCGGGACAGCGGAGAAACGCGCTGCGTTTCTCCGCTCTCCCGGGAAGGCAGGCAGGGGGGAACAAAGACTTTTGCCCCCCGCCGGCCTTCAGAAGGTGTTCCCGCCCCGCCGCCCGGCTTCGGAGCATCGTTCCGAAGCCGGGCGGCGGGGGAGTTCCCGCCCCGCCGCCCGGCTTCGGAGCATCGTTCCGAAGCCGGGCGGCGGGGGAGGTGTTCCCGCCCCACCGCCCGGCTTCGGAGGAGCCTTCCGAAGCCCGGCGGCGGGGGGAGGTGTTCCCGCCCCGCCGCCAGGCTTCGGAGGAGGTCCGAGGACAGTGGGGAAGACGCGCTGCGCTTCCCCGCTGTCCCGGAGATTTCCCTATGGGCTGTCGTCTTGCGAAGCAAGCCCATAGGGAAATTCATTTTGCGAAGCGCCTCCAAAACGGAAAACCCTTTCGTCTAGCGGGTTTTCCGTCTTGCGAGGCGTTTGTCTTGCGGGGCACCACTGTACTTGGTGGCAAAACCCTTGCTGGCAATTACAGAGGTCAGACATTTCTTGTAGGTGGCCACCAGGTTTGCACACATCTTGGGAGTTATTTTGTCCCACTCCTCTTTGCAGATCCTCTCCAAGTCAGTAAGATTTTGAGGTTGATGTGTAGCTACTCGAACCTTCAGCTGCCTCCACAGATTTTCGATGGGATTAAGGTCTGGATACTGGCTAGGCCGCTCCAGGACCTTAATGTGATTCTTCTTGAGCCACTCCTTTGTTGCCTTGGCCGTGTGTTTTGGGTCATTGTCATGCTGGAATACCCACCCTCAACCTATTTTCAATGCCTTGGCTGAGGGAAGGAGGTGCTCACCCAAGATTTGATGATACATGGTCCCGTCCATCGTCCCTTCGATGCGGTGAAGGTGTCCTGTCCCCTTAGCAGAAAAACACCCCCAAGCATAATATGTCCCCCTCTATGTTTGACAGTGGGGATAATAATAATAATAATAATAATAATAATAATAATAATAATAATAATAATAGATTTATACCCCGCCCTCCCCAGCCAAGACCGGGCTCAGGGCGGCTAACAACCAATAATAAAAACAAGTTGATTGAAATACAACTTAAAAAACAAGATTAAAAGGATGGTGTTCTTGGGGTTGTAGGCAGCATTCCTCCTCCTCCAAACAAGGTGAGTTGAGTTGATGCCAAAGAGCTCAATTTTGGTCTCATCTGACCACAACACTTTCACCCAGTTCTCCTCTGGGTCACTCAGATGTGCATTGGCAAACTGCAGACGGGCCTGTACATGTGCTGTCTTGAGAAGGGGACCTTGCAGGCTCTGCAAGATCTCAGTCCTTCACGGCATAGTGTGTTACCAACTGTTTTCATGGTGACTATGGTCCCAGCTGCCCTGAGATCATTGAAAAGTTCCCCCCGTGTAGTTCTGGGCTGCTTCATCACCGTTCTCCTGATCATTACAACTCCACGAAACGAGATCTTGCATAGAGCCCCAGACCATATCTAGGGAAGGATAAGAGGCAATCACAGGCTTTACTGTGTGGTCCAAGGGCGCTCTGCTGAGCACACACCCACACACCCCAGCCCTTATTTGGCTGAGACCACACCATGCCTTTTTTTGGAGCAAATATTTGCCAGTGTACAGTTCTAACCAGCCTGCGTGCCTGGGCTACGCATTTAATTTCCATCGTTGCAGATCTGGAGTCTCCGAGCCGTCGGCCATTAGTGGGCATCCTTAATTTTTCTTCTACCCAACCCACCTGCTTGTTTATTACATTTGTATCCCACTTTTTCTCCAGATTGCTCAAGGCGGTGGGGTACACCGTTCTTTTCTCTCCCATTCCCATCTTAATTCCCACAGCAAAACCCTGTGAAGTCGCTTAAGCTGAGAGACAAGCGACTTCTGAGGCCTTTCCCCGTCTTGCCAATGCCCAGACACACCACACAAACACACATCACCCGCAAAACTAGGTGGGGCTATAAGGGAGCTTTTCTGCTGCTGTTGCTGCTTTTTGCCTGTTTCATGGAGTCCCACTCACCTGTTGTTATACCTCCTTAGGCCTTTCTGCTTTTTTTGCAAACCAGCTTGTCTGCTTTTACTAATCGCTGCAGGGCCTGGCACTCTTTCTAAGCGCACTCATGTCTTTTTTTTCCTGCCCAAAGATTCTCAAAGGGTGCATCTACACCACAGACTTAAAGTGGCAGAACAGAATTGCAGGGGTGGAGAGGTTTTGTAGACAGGGCAGAGGGGTAGGGCAGGCTATTGAACCTCCAACAGAGATTTGTTAGTGCTCTCAATGAACTTCCAATTTCCAGGATTATTTAGAGAGAAGCCGTGAAAGATACTAACTGCTGTGGAATGCAGAGATGCCGTTTAGAGGCTCGGCGCCTCTTAGTAGAGACCACCTTCTTGCTTGCTTTGGGACTTTTACTTGCCTGCTTTATTTGCCCTTTGTCTCTCTTCCTCTTCTTAATCTCCTTGCCTTTCCCTCCGGTACTATTCTTTACTTAGCACTGAAGACCGTTCCTTTCACTGCTCGGACGGGCAAGCGCTCTTCTCGCCTCTTCTGCGACGCCAGTTTCAATGAAGAGAGCCCACTGTAGCTTGTGGCTCTAGGTAACGTGCTGCATCAAAGGCACAATGGTGGATTTATGTAGCCGAGGGGTGGGGAGCGCAGCAGGTAAAGGTGGCATCCCGAAACGACTCCTTCCAGTGCTGGGATGCGCCCTGCAATAGCTGAAGCATCTAGCCAGGCATTTGAGTGAATACGTGAACAGGAGTTCAAACTCTGTGTGTGTGTGTGTGTGTGTGTGTGTGCAATGAAGGATGAAGCAATGTAGAGGCGTTGGCCGGCTTCACGGTTTTTCCTGCACCGTGATTTTTGCCGGCACCTGCCCTTGCGATTCGCTGCCCCCTGAATGAGGCAGGGGATTGCTGAGCCGGCAGAGTTAACAGGAGCTGCAGGAATCGAGAGAAGCATTGGTTGACTTAATGTCCGTCCCCCCCCCCCTCATGATTTTTGCATAGCACACACCCACACACCATGATTCACAATATATTGCCAGGTCAAAAATTCTGAAATGCGGATACGGATTTCAGGCTTCTCAGGGCAGTAAACCTTTTAGGTCTGAAAGTGAGATGTGTCTCCAGTTTTAAGTAAGAAAACGGAAGAACATACTGCACACAGCAGAGTGTTTCCTTCCTTTCCCTAGTTTTTGAACGGAAAAGCAGCCTTGAAGGCTGCCATCAGGAACAGAGGAGCGGGTGCCAAGAATGTGCCGAATGCTCAAATTGGGGTTATTCCTGGATCATTTTTTTCCAGTCGGTAGGAAAAGCAGTTGTGGGGGGGGGGCAGGGAAGAAAGCAATTTTGAGAAGGAGGATGGGAAAAGAGTTAAGCAAGTTCGCTCTACTCTCAGTGGTCGCCTCCGAGGTTGTATTTCAATGTAAAAGTCAGGGGAGGGGAACACACCGCTGCACGTTCTGCATTGCAGAAGTTTTAGGGAGAAACCAGCGGAGGGCAAGTCGAATAGCCAAGCATGTCCGAATGCATGCACCCCAAACAATTAACTAGGGGTTTTGTTTTTTCTCATGGCAGGCCTGCGCAACCAGCCGTACCGGCGGGGGGACACCGGTCGGCACAGCGCCAGGAAACGGGCCGTGGGGCAGACGCTGCAGGTGACTGCCGACATCTCGCTGTGACAGCCCCGAATGAGAACAGCAAGCTAGCCAAGCCTTGGTTTGGGGGCGCGAGGCAAGGACTGGGGGGTTCCTGGCCGACGGGCTTGGACCAAAAGCCCCTCACAACCAAGGAACGACAAAAACTCAGGGCAGGACGATCCCTTCCCTCCTCCGCTTTTAAAGCCATTTGTGGGCTTATGCGCACAACAACCCTGCCAATTCTCCTGCCCACGGGGATCAACGCCGCTTCGTTTTGAACTTCGTTTTCTCAGCCACGTCGGACGGCCCTAAGGTGGAACTATGGCAGGGGCTGCTCTGCCAACTAGGACAGCAGGTGGTTCTGGAAGGTGAGTCCAGCCATTGCAACACCAAGCCAAGAATGAAAACCTTCCACAGCCTGGAATGTTTGCGACTGCAGACTCCCTCGGGAGGGAGGAAGCGGAACCGACAGGGTCTCGATTCCTCCTCCCAGCTTGCCCATATCCCTTTCCCCCGCCTCATCCAGCTGGGCCATTTCAGTCTCCTTTAATCCTCCACTTCCTCCTCCGGCCTGGAGAAGACAGCCAGTGTTTGCAGGCCAGTTTTCTCCCATCTGACATGAACGGTGCTGTTTGATCCGAGCGAGTAGTCGTACGCTTGCAGGAAGGTTACTTGCCCAGGAATGTGTAACCTCAGGATCATTAAAGCCATTGAAGTGGTGCAACGAGGGGGTCCACAAGGACTTTGCCGGGCGTGGGGTGGGGCAGCAAGCACCCTGTACAAAACAGCTCCAGCACTTTTTAAACCACCTTGGGCAGGTGCCACGACTGCCTTGGCCTTGTAGGACGCAAACGGCAGGCAGCACTTCAGGTTTATGCTGTAGAGAGGGCTAACAGCCTGTGTAGTTTTCTCCCTTTGCAACATTTTGGCTGGCAGAGGCCCGGCTGAGGATGCCTGGGAGTGGTGTCTTAAGCCCCTACCAAGGCTGTCGTGGTTCTAGATGACCCAGGAATCTCTGCTGCCCTCCATATTTTCATGAGGGCAACGAGACCAGAGTTTGATCAGTGAACATAAGCAGCCAGAGTTGCCCTTCCTTCCACCAAGGCTCCCCACCACCACCTGAAGTCACTCCCCTTGTGCACGTCTTAAGATGGGAAGTGCCCAGCCGCTAAGGAGGAAAGAAGACTGGGCTCTAAGCAGGAGACGTAAATCTTCCTAAATATAATGTTTGGTTAAAGTTATGAATATAATTTCAGCTTCTTATTCTAGCACAACGGCCATCCCTAGGAAGCAGTTGCGATCCGTGGAACAGTCTCTCAGGATTTAAGTATTTGGCACAGGCGGCACTTTGGCATTTTTGAAACCAACACGCTCTGACGCAGAGAAGCTCAGAGGCTTCGTGACAATCAAAACGGGGGAGCCAAGTTGCTTTTCTTTTTCTTGCCACGTGGTGTCGCCATTTCTGTGGGGTTTTCCACCGGTGCTTTTTCTTCAACCTGTGCCCTGGGTTCTAGTCCCGCCCCCCCCCCCGAACTAAAAGTAGAGGTAATTAGGTCAATCAGGTGACACCCGCTATAATTTCCAAGAGCACAATGGGGTGGTTCCTCTCGCCGCCCGCCCCCCAGGGAATCTAAGCAGCAAATGAATTTGTAGAGGGGGTAAGATTTCTGCCCCGAGGGTCAGGTTGTCCGATGGACTCTGCATCATGGAGCCACTTTGCTTACAAAGGCAGACCAAGGGGTAAGCTCACCTTGCTTTGAAGCAAGGGGGCGATCCTAACAGACCCAGGATGTAACGTCTTTCGGCAGCTCTGTCCTCTGTGGGTTCCCAGTGGACAAAGGCACTTGCAAGTTGAGCATCTGCTCTCCCCCTTTTTCTTATCTGGGGGTGGGGAGGGGAGATTGTGAAAACTCCAAAAGAGATACAGCCCATCCCATCCACCCCAGCACATATCCAGGCCCCCTGAGACAGATTCTGCTTACAGAGGACATTGGTGGGCAAAGAGCTGCATTCCTACCCTGTTCACCCCAGCATGCAAGCTTTGCAGCAATAAATGCATACAGCAGCGGGTGTTGACCTGCATACCTAACAGCCCTCCTCTTTTGTCTCAGCTGGAAAGGAACAATTTCTTAAAAAGTCATGCAAAAGTCAACACCCTGCTTTTCATCTGCTCATCCGGCTTTAGCCTTCGAGCTGCACACCCGCTTAGAAACTCCCGGTTTAGACTTAGGCTAACATTTGCTTTCTCCTGTAACCTTAAAAGCAGCTTAAAGAAAAGAAAAACAATCACAGCATATACACTCAGAACAGAAACCTTGGACACTGTTTCATCACACACTTTTGGGGGCGGGTGGGCGGGGGGGAGAAGCGGGAGAAGGGGATATTAGGAAAAGAATTGAATGTGCAACCTATTGTTTTCAGAAATGCCTTGAATCATGGAGGGGAGGACGAAAACGCCCCTGTATGATTGCTATTTGTATACATTATTTTTATATATGGTTATGTGAATTGCATTTAATCCAAAGCGAGTTAAACCATGAGAGCAAATAATAAATGTATTCTAAAGATGCGAACGGTGCCTGTGTTCAAAGAGAGTGCCGGCAGTCTGCTGGAGGGTAAAGAACTTCATAAGGTACACACAATTTTTTAAGCCGCCCCGCCCCCCCCGCAAGGCTGCCTCTGCTGCAAGGTCCACTAAGAAATCAATTTGCCCACAGCAGTGGAATGCCCTTGCTTGCACCCCTTCTGATTGCGGATTCTCAGTACAGTTGTACCTTGGAAGCTGAACGGAAATCGTTCCTTAAGTCCATTCAATTTCCAAAACGTTCGGAAACCAAAGCGTGACTTCTGATTGGCTGCAGGAAGCTCCTGCAGCCAATCAGAAGCCGCGTCGGACATTTGGGTTCCAAAGAATGTTTGCAAACCGGAACACTCACTTCCCAGTTTGCGGCATTCGGGAGCCCAAATGTTCGGTTTGCAAGGTGTTTGGGATCCAACGTACAACTGTATCTCCACCCAAAATTCAGGGCAGGGAGCAGTGCAGGGGTGCCTAGATATACACAGTTGGCTGAGGGTACCCACATTACAATCTTTTCTACACACAGTATTTCAAATGTGAAATCTCTCTTTGCCACATTGCAACACAACACAAAGAGTTAGTTATACATATACTTATTAGGTGCTAGAGAACGAACAATAGGGGGTGTCTATATCGTGCCGTTTTATAGTCTTTCTAATAGAAATACAGCTAATTAATTTAGCATGCTGGGTGGACTCAATGGACATTTTAATTTGGGCGGTGGGTAGGAGGGGAGGAATACACACAGACTTGCACATATATCATTTGTGACTCTCGCTGGACTCTGCATGGATGGGTAAGTTAAGTGGCAGCAGAACAGCTGCCGTCGTGTATCCCACGCCTGTTGAGAAACTTGGTGAAACAACTTGGCATGCGCGGTTTTGGGACACGGGGAATGGCTGGGACACGGGACCCACAAACCTGAACCATCAAGACCAGCCTCACTCCAAACCAAGAATTGCCCAAGATGCACAACACTGTTCAATAAAATAAAACGCCACAAAAGTCAGTTGTTGCCCAAAAAGGCGTGATTTTGCTTCATTTCCACGACAGCAATACATACATTATCACGGTGTTCTGGAACATCATAGAAAGGCAAAAGAAGGTACTAACAGATTTAGGCCACTGTTAGTATTGCATAGGTCTGGCAACTGGCAGAACTAACTTGAATCCAAAGAAAAGCGGGCATGTGCCCATCTTAAAAACTATTTTGCCCCACTGATGTTAACAATTCGAGTGGAAATAACATTCCCTGCACTGGAGCCCTTGGATCTACAAGAACCAAAGAGTCTAGAGGAGTCTGGCTGTGATCATATCCCAGGACTTTCCCCACCCCTTCAAATTGAGGAACCACCCCCCTACACACACAAAATACGTTTGTCTCTTCAAAATCAAGGGCAGACAAAGACTGCAGAGTCTTCTCTTGCAGAGCAAAACACAGCTATTCAGCTCACAGTTCAAACTTCTGAAAACAAAGTACAGCACAGCCAGCCAGCCAACCCTCTGAAAAATATGATCGTTTCCTAAAGCAAACTTGCAGAGCAAGTGGAAAGAGTACATATGAAATGAATGAATGAAAGCAAGGCAAAGAATCAGTGCTTTCATATTACCCACTCCAGGCTTCCATGGTGCCGACTGTATTGCTGAACTACAGCACTCAGAAGCCCAGGGGCTAGCATGGAGGATGGAATATTTCCCAAAATATCTAGAGGGCCGCAAGTTCACCACCTCTGCTCCAGAAGGTCTTCCTGCAGTAAATGGTATAGACTAGAAGGGCCATTGGCTGTAAAGCCACAGGGCTAGTGGAGACCACTAAGTACACAAGAGCTCCAATCTAAATGGGGAGCAAGAACATTTGCCTCTCAAAAAGCTGGTAGATAACCTGTCCTGTCTCCCTCTTTCAGCAGCTGCATGCAAGAACTGAACAAGGCTTGCAGGATGTAGGTCTAACGTGCTGCAGAGAAGAGCAATGGGACAAAGAGATTACTAAAGGAGCTAGGAGTGTAGGCCTCCCTGCCCCAGTTTCCTTTTCTAAATGGTAAATTCCCTGCCATTTAACTCGGTAGCAACCAAAAACATACTCCTTTTGCCCAGCCTTTCCCCTTCTAAGCTCATGCAGTGCCTCTTCTACACACCAGGTGGCGCCTGTACCAGTTCCATTCGTTTTCCTGTAAAAATAAGGCCGTAAACCTTGGTTTGCTGATTTTACCGCAGCCTTGATGGCAATTTATGCCTTTGTGCTGGCTGCCACGCACACCATGACGAAGGCTGGACTGAGATGATGTTGGCCTTTAAAGTGGCTTATTGTAAAATATTTCCTCTTGGCACGCGCACACCAAGGGAGGTTTGGGAAAAGGAAGCTCTTCTAGGGGAGCAGGTGATTTGGAAAAGGGTGAAGATGCCCTATGATGTCCCTCCTTTTTAAAAACACACCTCTTCTGTTTTTTCTACCCTACTTCAGAGAGTTTAGAAAGAGGCAAATTCCTTGCCTGACAGTAGAATCAACCCAAACGGGATAGAATAACCTTAGTTCCGAAAGAAAAGAAAAAACCAAACCATTTTATGCCACCTGAGAATGGCCAAAGCCGTCCCAGAATGGCTGCCTTCTAGTCTCCAATCCCTGCAGCGCCATGGCTGTAGGGTTGATATTAGCCAGCCTTCGTTTTGTAGGCGGCATTAGTATTCCAGATAGGAAGCTCAGCAAGGAAGTGGGTTCAGATTCATAGCTTAGTAAAGCTTCAGGCAAGGCTTTGTCATAGCAGGACATCCTTGTACCCAACAAGGAAAGAGGACTTCCCTCCTAAGGAAGTTCCTCATCTAGTCACTTTCATTCATTTACCCACATCACTTGGCACAGAATAAAGCCACTCCAAATTCTACAAGGTCAACTGTGCCAATATGCACCCAGGTGTGTTTTTTTTATATTAAAAAAATCATATATATTGTACTGATTTGCTTACTTTATTTCAAGTTTACATTTTGCCTAAAACTCTTCTGCTATAGAGTTTGGATTTCTAAGGCTGCAATCCTATGTACACAATTAGTTCGGGGTAAAATCCCACTGACTGCAGTGGGGTTATTTCTGAGTAAGCATGCATAGCCCTGGCTCTGTTAAGACACATGCAGTTCTCTCTATTTAGGGCAGAAAAAGAAAAGAAAATGGAACCAAAACCTAAAACGTAAGGAGATCCACTTGAAATGTCTGTGTCGGTCTTCACCAATCACCAATGGGGGTTGCAGCTGAAAACATATCTATGAAAGGATCCGTATCAGGCTCCCCCAACTGGTGACCCACCAAGCCAAAAAAAAATAAAAATCAAACTTCCCATTTCTTGCTGCCTGTCCAGGGGCGGCAAAAACCTACAAAGCAACTGTTTGGCTACAGTACAAGTCTGCCAAGGTGTATTGGGTTTGATGGGTTACAAACAATACAGGTCCGGATTATATGAACAAACTGAGACACACTCAAGTGATTTCCCATCCTGTCACGCATTTCTCCATGAGATGGAATGCAAGGCTGGTTGCGTTGTGACGCCAAGCACAGAAAACAGCCCTCAAGCACCCCAAAAGGGGCACTGTGGTATATGGGAGAAATTTGATGCCCGGACTTCTGCAAGAATCCCCCCCCCCTGGAAATTTTAAGCTCACCAAAATTTGGCCAAGTAGCGATTCACCAAGCCAAACAGGGCTCAGGCATATTAAGGCCTTTGAGGTTTTTGGCCACACAAGGCAGGCAGCAAGAGCAGGTGCTCTTATCATCAAAGCACTGGTGGGCTGCCATAGGCACTGGATGGTGCACAAAATCAAAGCTGGCTGTCCATTGCATAGCTAGGAAAATTGCCGTGCAACTGAAATTTAATACGACAAATCTTCCATCACAGATTTCTGAGCTTTCGCAAGAAGCCGCAGCATGCTACCAGTTTCGCTGAGGAAGTTCCCAAGCGAATCAGATATGTGTTGCTGACTACATTCCTCCAAGCTGCTCAGGGCAACGGTTTTTGCAAGGCAACAAGCGTGCCGCATCGAATGGTGATGAGAAAGTGAGTTGGCCAAGGTGACCTGATGTGCTTGGTCTCCAAGGAGGTTCCCCACCTCTAAGCCCATTGCTGGGTTTGGGGAACTTTACTAAGCCCCACTGGGCAAATCAGAACTTCCCATTTTCCTTGGGATTGGTAGAAGGTGGTTGGGTTAAGAAATTGACCGCCTGCCCGCAACCCAGCAGATCAGGTTCTTCCTAGTCTTCTGGGTCAGTTTCATAAACGCAGACACAATAATTCAGTTTTTTTCTGCCACCCAGCCCATAAACCTGGCTGCACACAAGGGCTGGCAGAGAAGCAGAGAGGAACCAAACCTATAACCTACAACCACCAACAATATTCAGCACTCAGCTATCTGCAGATACCACATCTGGCTCCATGGGGGATATCACCGGAGTGCCGTGGGGAGAGACAGCATCCCTTAAGGCTTCTTCTCTAGTTGGCCATGTTTGACCCTCCAGCTCCAGCCACAGCTGCTGTCAGGAGCAAGGGTGCACTGAAGCTCGATGCCCAAATCAGGGACCTCCATGTCGCAGCGGACGGGTTGGCCTTCCTTGGTGAAGAAGCTGAAAGCAGAGGCCGGTATCTATGAAAGCAGAACACACAAACAAAAAGGTGAAGGGGCCTGACTCCACATCAAGTGGATCAAATCTACGCTTCCAGGTGTCATAAGAAAGCTCCAGAGATAGTGCAGGATAGTGCGCACCCCGGAAATGATCTCTTTCAGCTTCTGCTTTCTGGAAGAAGGTACAGGGTTATAAAGACTAGGACTAGCCGCCTGATAAACAGTTTCTATCCAAATGTGATTTTGGTTTTAAACACAGTGTAAGGTAGTCTCTTTGGGAGTATATTGTATTAAATTATGGGGTATCAGAGTTTTTAGGGGGCTAACCAGGCTGGGATAGCAGGCTTGTTGGTTTTTGAATGTCTGATGTAGATTTTTTCAATTTCGGTGTTCTGTATGGGACAATGACAATAAAAATTATTGTATCGTATCGTAACTGCACGTTTATTTCTAGCTGACAGAGGAAGAAACGAAGTCACATCACATGCATTTAAAGGGGGAATGGGCAAAAAATTCATTGCATGCGTATTTCTGGGCCCACAGCAGAGTTCAGTAAGAGCAAAGTGGCCATGTTGATTATCTTTCTGCCTTGAGACAATGGAGTGGGCCTAGCAGAACTGAAGCAACCTCCCTGGGGCACAAACAGTGTGTATGGAGGTCCTGGGTTGCTGATGACAAGACGCCCCCTCTCAGCCTCGCTGATGAGGTCCAAAGGAAAGCAGAGCAATATGTCTGGCACCAGCTGGGCTGTAGGAGTTGCTGGAAGGAGGTGTACAAAGTGCCATCCAACCGTCTTAGGGACTCCACTCTGGATTTCTGCAGGGTTTAATCCTTACCCTTTTCTTCTCCAGAAGATATCTTGCAAGGCGGAGAAGGATTAAGATGACATTCCCAAATACAATGGTACCTTGGTTGTCAAATGCCTTGGTACTCAAATGCCGAAAACCCAGAAGTAAGTGTTCCGGTTTTCAAACATTTTTCAGAAGCCGAACATCCGATGCGGCTTTTGGCTATTGTTTCTGGGGCACCTGCACCAATCGGAAGCTGCACCTCGGTTTTCGAACATTACGGAAGTCAAACGGACTTCCAGAATGGATTAAGTTTGGCGCCTTTGTTTTTGCTATTTATTTTGCATTTTTGTTTTTGAGGCTTTCTCGGTTAATTTGTTTTTGTGACTGTGTGGAACTCAGTTCAGCTACTGATTGACTGCAGAAATGGATAAAAGCAAACAATATCCAAACAATGACTATCATCAGCGCAGGTAAGGGGGGGGGGAAATAATTTTTTTATCATCTACAATACTGTCTTATTCATTTTATAGTGCAGTACATTGATTACTGCTTTCATTTTATGGATCAATGGTCTCGTTAGACAGTAAAATTCATGTTAAATTTCTATTTTAGGGGTCGTTTTCAAAAGTCTGGAACAGATTAATCCATTTTGCATTACTTTCTATGGGAAAGCGCGCCTTGGTTTGGGAACACTTTGGTTTTGGAACGGACTTCTGGAACGGATTAAGCTTGAGAACTAAGGTACCACTGTAGCCCCATTTTGCAGTACTTCTCACCCCCAAAAAGGAGAGAGGTCCACCAGGGCAGAACTCACCTGGCTGCTGATTCCAATGGCTACATCTCCCACCTTGGCGCCACGAAACTCTCGGATGTGGAGACTCTCCCCGCTGAGCAAGCGGATCTCAATTTTCACTCCTGGAAGGCAGAAATAGAGAGCTAAGCATGTACTTGCCACCTGAAGATAACATTCTATACATCTGACAAAGCAGCTTCTGGTCCATTAAAGATCATGCCAAATAAATCTATCAGGATGCTTCCCGGCTGTCGCTATTTTCAGGTGGGATTTGCTCACCTACTGGCAGATTGCAAGGGCCCCGAACAATTAACTCACTTTACCCAAACGATCAGACTTCTTTCTGATAAGAGCAATGGCAAAATGCACTGAGAAATGCAAGGTGGCCTTTACAAAAACTTAAGGAATATGCAGAAACGGCGAAGCTTACCGGAAAAATAAGAAATCAAGGTAACAAACTTTTTAGAAAAGAATGGAAATGGTTTATGGAATATTTACAAATAAACTGCAAACAAGTAAGAACTTTGGCAAGATTACTGTAATAACCTGCAGTTTTTTTATAAGACTATTTTTAAAGTACGTGAATAAAAGAATAAGTTAAGTTCATTTGGAATATGCAGAAAATATAAAAAAAATAAATTTAAGGAACCGCAGAAAGAGGGGGAAGGAAATGTCAAAATGGTTGTAAAATTACTGAAAGGTATAAAATTGAAAATCACAAATAAGAGAAATGAGAGGCAGCCAACTATATCCTGGTATTCGATGTAAAACGAATTTTGCTCCCAATTCTAGTGTTTATTAGTTTATTAGGAATGATTACACGGTCTAATTAGCAATTAGTAATTCATGTGCCAATGAAACACACCACAAAATGGAACAGTTTAACACAATAGTGCCTTCGGCAAGCAAATGCAGAAGAAGCCATTTGGCCTCTGGCTTGCTTACTATCTTACGGGCCAAGAACAGAACCTACCATCAAAGTAGGTAGGCATATCTGTATTCCTGCTGAGATGCAGCCAGCTGTTCCAGCTGTTGCTCTGCCCATCTGTTTGGCTGTTCCACGAACCCACTCCAGAACTCATGGTTTCCTTCAGGCTCTGAGATGTTTTCAATGAGTCCTAGAGAAACAGAAAGCGATAGCAATGTCATTCTTCCGCAGGCACACATGCAGTGTCTAGTTTCCAATGCCCCACGGTATGGGGGTCACTTCTTAACTTCAGGTAGCCTCCCTCCCAGGCATGTCCAAAGGACTGGAAACCTGGACAAGACATAGAATCTGGCACTTCTCTCACTACCGGAACAGTATGAAGAGGAAAAAGAGGCACCTGCTAAGATCTATAGGAAGCTCACAAGCAGGACCTGGGAGCCCTGAATAATAATAATGATGCTAATAATAATAATAATAATAATAATTTATCTGTACCCCAGCCACGCTGGGCAGCTTCCAACAAAGATTAAAAATACATTAAAATGTACACCAAGAAGAAGTGAAATCTCTGGCACCCGTCCCAATTTCTTTCTGGGCCACACGCTAAAAGGTTTTCACAGCTCAGAGGCAGGAGATGCTTCCGGGGCCAAATCAGGTAACTGGCACAATGCAAGGAAAAAGGTAAAGGTAAAGGACCCCTGCACGGTTAAGTCCAGTCAAAGGCGACTATGTGGTGCGGCTCTCATCTCACTTTCAGGCCGAGGGAGCCGGCCTTTGTCCACAGACAGCTTTCCGGGTCATGTGGCCAGCATGGCCAAACCGCTTCTGGTGCAATGGAACACTCTGACTGAAACGAGAGTGCATGGAAACACCGTTTACCTTCCCACCACAGTGGTACCTATTTATCTACTTGCACTGGTGTGCTTTCGAACTGCTAGGTTGGCAGGAGCTGGGACAGAGCAACAGGAGCTCACTCCGTCGCGGGGATTCCAACTGCCGACCTTCTGATCGGCAAGCCCAAGAGGCTCAGTGGTTTAGACCACAGCGTCACCCACATCCCGGCACAATGCAAGCACAATGCAAGTCCTCATGCACTTGCCTTCTCACTGGCGTCTGACGGGAGAGCACTGTCCAGACTGAGGCACAACAGCATCTGCTCCTGTTCCTCCAGAGAGAAGGGCTGAGACAGGCTGTTTCGAATCAGCTCTGTGGGAAAGGAAACAGGCTACAATGAAAACAGAGGCCAAAAGATCATCCCCCAACCACCCCTGGCACTCAGCAAGTTCCAGATTCCTCCCCCCCCCCCCCGTGACAAGTGGGGTCGTGCTATGCAGCTCTGCCCCATTTTTCAGAGATCTAAAAGGTAAAAGGTAAAGGTACCCTGCCCGTACGGGCCAGTCGTGTCCGACTCTAGGGTTGTGCGCCCATCTCACTTAAGAAGCCGGGGGCCAGCGCTGTCCGGAGACACTTCCGGGTCACGTGGCCAGCGTGACGAAGCTGCTCTGGCGAGACAGCACCAGCGCAGCACACGGAAACGCCGTTTACCTTCCCGCTATAAAGCGGTACCTATTTATCTACTTGCACTTAGGGGTGCTTTCGAACTGCTAGGTGGGCAGGAGCTGGGACTGAAAGACGGGAGCTCACCCCGCCACGGGGATTCGAACCGCCGACCATACGATCAGTAAGCCCTAGGCGCTGAGGTTTTACCCACAGCGCCACCCGCGTCCCTTTTCAGAGAACTACATCTGACTAATTTTGGAACACATTTGCCAAGTAATCAATGCAGTTTTAAACAAATCCCGTGCATATTTTAATCCCCATTTAACTCCCTAACCTCCTGCTCTCTTCAGCACAGCCTTTCTCATTTCAAATGCTCCATAAAAGCTCCTCCTGCTAATCAGTATCTCGCTCTGTCAGCCCATTTGGTGTTGCCTCATTTACACAGCGCCTCACCAATAAGCTTGCATCGAAAGACCTGAGCAAGGCTCTCGATAAATAAAATCAACGTGTTATAGCGACAACTGGCAGCTCAGAACATGAGCTGCACTGAGCTAGGAATCAAAGTCCAGATATAAGGCCATCTGGAGGGGAAATGGAGGGTGGAGGAAAGGTTCAGCAACCCCTCCCCACACAACTTCTCTGCTTAAAACTGCAGCCTCACCACGCTGCTTTTCACAGCGGCTTGGCACCACTTATGTTAGGAGACATCAGACTACAGTCGTAACAGATACTTCAACCATGAACCAGACGGTTCTTATGTGCAAGGACTGAGTCCACAAAGTTCAAACCATGAAAAAAATTGCTTGTTTTAAAACAGACACAGGCAAACTCCAGCCCTCCAGATGTTTGGGACTACAATTCCCATCACCCCTGACCACTGGTCCTGTTAGCTAGGCATGATGGGAATTATAGTCCCAAATATCTGGAGGGCTGGAGTTTGCCTATGCGTGCTTTAAAACAACAGCAGCATATTCTGTTTCCTTCATGGAAGCCTATTCAGTGTACTTTTTCATATACAGTGGTACCTCGGAAGTCGAGCAGAATCCGTTCTGGAAGTCCGTTTGACTTCCAAAACATTCAGAAACCAAAGCACGGCTTCTGATTGGCTGCATGAAGCTCCTACAGCCAATCAGAAGCCACGGCAGACGTTTATGTTCCAAAGAACATTCGCAAACCGGAACACTCACTTCCGGGTTTGCGGCGTTCGGGAGCCTAAACATTTGACTCACAAGGCGTTCGGGATCCAAGGTACGACTGTATATATTTAAAAAACCATGATAGGATTTATTCTACATGGATTTGAAAGAAGACTCAATACACTGTGAGGCTCCATAAAGGTACAGAGAAAGACAAGAACAATGATCCCAGAATATAAAAAAGGCACTGTGGAAATCAGCTACACCAGATGCAAATCATCCTAAACTCAAAATGGCAATAAATGAGTCACGGCAGGTTGGGCTGAACTAAATCAAGAAAGCAATGGAAATGACATGGGGCATAAAGAGCAGCTGGAGAAGTACAGATAACACTTCTCCTACCTGAACCAAGATGGGGAAGGAACCCTATCGCCCACGCTTCAATAAAATTTAGCAATGTGCCATTGACAAGATATTGGAATTCAACAAAGATTCCCTTTTCAATACCTGCATTAAGCCAAAAGGAGCCCAATTTATCGTTTTAACCTTGAAAATGGAGATATTCAGTGTTCTGAGATGGTTTGTTCTTTTAAATCGCTATGTCCCATCTTATCCACGCTTCCTTCTATTCTGCTACAACCACCCAGGCACAAGATACATCGGCGCCGTGCGTAGATGTAATTCCATCCCTCCTTTTTATCTTTTAAGCACATACCCCTTCCTTGCCTGGTCCTCCAACTAACCAATAGGAAGCAGGTAGTACTGCCCTATACGTATAACCCTTCAACTCTGATGGAGCAGAGCTGCACACAAAGAACTCGCTAGGCAGGAGACTTGAGAGCAAGATGACAAATAAAGGCACATTTCCAGAGAGAAAGACGAGAAGCGCAATTGGGTCATTACCAAACTCCAGCTGCTGAAGCTCAAGTTCAAAGGACGTGGTTCTCCAGTCTGTCAAACTGCCCCTCTTGGCGCTGAGAGGAGGCAGGAAGCAGAGCTGCAGGGAGTCGCACGGCTGCATTAGTTCCTTGCACGTGCTCAGAGGGATGAACTGCGCCTTCTCGGCCAGACCGTGGCGGGGAAGTGGGAGGGTGTGGCATTCAGGAGGCTCCGGGATTGGCAGCGGTGGGTCTGGGAGACTAGGCTCTGGGGCCAACTGTAGATTTCGGGGTTGTCTGTATTCTCCTCTCCAGGGGCTCTTCAGGCCTCCCACTGCAAAGCGAAGGGGAAATGTTAGGTCAGAAGAAAGAGAGGGGAGCACTTGCTGGAGGGGAATCACCCAGAAGGTTTCATCTCTTTTCAATCCCAGGTGACTACCCTTAAGTGAAGAAAAAGGATGCATCGATGGGATGATCATTTGAAGCTTTACCCAGCGGCAGGGAGTGTGTGGTGTGTGTGTGTGTGTGTGTGTGTGTGTGTGTGTATGACCTCAAGTCCGAGGGCCAAATGAGGCCCCCAGATTTCTCTGCCTGCCCCCTGGAACTCTCCCCAGGCCACACCCTTCCCTGGTCCTGTGTCACCCCAAGTGTTTTTTCTCTAGCTGCAATTTGTCCTTGACATCTGGTGACTCTGGCTTGTCTGGATGTAGGTGTGCTTGTGTGTGTGTTTAGAAGTCAGCCTATGGCAGAAAGGCAAGATTTACATCCACAGCTCTTCCCACCTTTGCCTCTGGCCTCACCTGCCACACACAGTGTGTTAAAGCAAACAGGTTACAAAGGCCTGGAATTTCTGTGGCTAAATTATACCTGCCGTAGCTGGCCAAAGGCAGTCTTTTTAACCTGCCTCAAAACAACAGCCTTCCCATTCACTACACCACCGAAAGCCCAAGTTGTAAAAGTTGCCTGTGATGCGTTACAGCAGGGAAAATAAAGGCACACTCCCTGCTGTCTGGCGGGAATGCGCGAAACAAGGGTTGCAGAATTGGGCCCAATATGCTTGACGTGCGGAACACCATCAGCTGTGGATTCAAAATTTAAGGACAGTCAAAAACCCAAGTGTTCTGTGATTGATGGGGGACACCCACCCTCACTCACAGATGATGTCAGCACTTGGGGACCGCCTCTCCTGGTATGTCCCATGGAGGACCTTACGGTCTGCAAATAACAACACCTTGAAGATTCTGGGCCCCAGGGAGATTAGACTGGCCTCGATCAGAGCCAGGGCCTTTTCAGCCATGGACCCGGCCTGTGGAACGCTCTCTCACAAGAGACCAGGGCCCTGCGAGATTTGACCTCCTTTCGCAGGGCCTGCAAGACGGAGCTGTTCCGCCAGGCCTTTGGTCGGGGTTCAGTCTGACTCATTTTCTCTTTGTATAAAAACAAGCACGAAATAGGTTTCCCATCCCGCTCACAGGTCCTTATATCAGTGGAAACAGTTGGTCCTGGCAAGTATTAACTGCTTTCAATTTTAACCTGAGGATTGTCATTTTTCCAGTTTTAACTTTAATTTTAATTTATTTGGGATACATTTTAATTGATAGATTGCTTGTTTTTATGCATATTGTATTATTTATATGCTAGCCGCTCTGAGCCCAGCTCTGGCCGGGGAATGTGGGGTACAAATAAAAATTTATTATTATTATTATCATTCTAACTCACAGCACAAGAACCGGATCTGCCTAGCACCAACATCCAAGTAGTCCTATTAAAGCCAACGCAGCAAGCATTTGGCGGCGGCAGCAGCAAATAAAGCACATCGCATGTCGCAAGCAGCTTTTTGTCGCCAGCGAGGTGTTGGGTAATCTGCCATAGCTGTAAGAAATCCTCACCCTTTTCAAGGGCCTCACAGGCTTTCACCCTTAGCTCCGCTGCAGAGGCCCGTTGGGTCGGATCCTTCTCAAGACCCGCCTTGATGAGATGGGCGGTGGCTGGGTGGCAGGAGGGTGGGATTTCTCTCAATGGAGGTGGCTCTTTGGCTATCTGCAATACAGAAAACGCGGGGAAATGTCAGGTGTCAGAAGTGGCAATGTCTACCAGAGGAGGAGGCAGGTCTGTTAGACAGGACAGGTCATCCAAGGTGTTATGATCCTAAAGAGGGTTTTTTTAATAGAAGATGATGTACCATTGGTTTATTATGCCTGAGAAACTATTTGCAATGTACAAATGCATTTCAAATGTTTGCTGAAAGTGCCAAGGACACAAAGGGACATTTTGCCAGGCTGTGGTGGACATGTAAAAAGGCTAAAAAATATTGAATACAAATACGTACGCTGACACAGTCAAACGTCGCTTGTTGAATGTAATCTGTTCCAGAAGCCTGTTCGGCTTCCGAAATGTCCGACAACCAAGGCACGGCTTCTGATTGGCTGCAGGAGCTTCCTGCACTCAAGTGGAAGCCGCGTCATACACTCGGCTTCAGAAAAACGTTTAGAAACACTTACTTCCGGGTTTTCAGGAGCCAAAACGTTCCAAAACAGAGGTGTTTGGGAACTGAGGTTTGACTGTACAGCAGATTTTAAAGGTTAATATTAACTGTAAGCTAGAACTCTTTCTTTTAGGGTTAATGGACACATCTGGAAAAGGACTATGGAAGATTACTCCAATACATTACAGTGGCGAGACTGTTACTATGCACAAAGATGGAAAGATACAGACCTACCCACTATAGAGGAATGGAGGATAAAACTACAGCATCACAGGGAGACTGCAGAGAAGCCGAAGAAACCGTTTGCCATAAGCAGCCCCAGAGGGAAGGTACAGCCGTGCCCCGGAATGCCCTCTTCCACTTCCTTCCACCACTGGTGGACCTGGGAGGTTCTTCAAGGAAAGGCACTGCTCACCTCTCCAAAGTGTTTTTCTCTATTATTTATCCATCAATCCCTCTTCCTCTCCACTATACCCTTTCCTGCACTATACCCTATACCCTACACCACACCTGAAGATGGAAGGGAGTTCGTCCTTCCAAATGCCAATGTGCCCCGATTAAATCAGGCCAGCCCACCTGCAAGTCTGCGAAAATGCAACTTACCTTGAGGCACAGAGGGTGGTTGTAGTACTGGGTCCAGGGGTGGCATCCGTTCAAGAGATGCAGCATCATGCAGCAGCTGCTCCAGACGTCTGCCTTGGAGTCGCAGCGCTTCCCCATCACCACCTCGGGGGCCAGGTGGGTCTCTGTGCCAGGAACATAGTCCCCTGGAAATGCAATGGAGGAGATCTGCTCTCTAAGGTCTTGTGCAGAAGCAGCCCATGCACAGGTGGTTCTTAAAGGGGAAAGGGTAGCAGTTTGGACCCAAACAAGAGACTTGGGGTGGTGTAGCAGACTTGAAGCTGGACTAAACTCCCTGTTTGTGGAATGCTCTCCCCAGAGAGGCTCGCCTGGTGCTTCATTATCCACCTTTAGAAGCCAGGCAAAAACATTCCTCTTTAACCAGGCATCTAATGCCCTTTTAAAATTATTGGGTTGTTTTTGTTCTGGTTATATGTTTTGTGTTTTTATATTGTGATTTTATACTCTGACCCGCCCTGAGACCTGCAGGTATAGAGCGGTATATTATTATTATTATTATTATTATTATTATTATTATTATGGTACCTCGTGTTAAGTACTTAATTCGTGCCAGAGGTCCGTTCTTAACCTGAAACTGTTCTTAATCTGAAGCACCACTTTAGCTAATGGGGCCTCCTGTTGCTGCTGTGCCTCCGGAGCACGATTTCTGTTCTCATCCTGAAGCAAAGTTCTTAACCCGAGGTACTATTTCTGGGTTAGTGGAGTCTGTAACCTGAAGCGTATGTAACCTGAAGCGTATGTAACCCAAGGTACCACTGTATTATGTGACAACAGTGGGTGGAGGACCTGGGCGAAAATCTCTGCTCAGTTATGAAACACTGGGGGCCCTTGGCCAAATCATAGTATCTTGGCCTAATATATCTGGCAGGGATGTTGCAAGGATACAGATATTTGTGTGTAATCAGGATTGCATGATCTCTTAGATAGATAGATGGTAGATAGATGATAGATATATGTCATTGATATCTTAAGGACTCAAAATGAGTATTTAAAATTGTAAAATAGAAATAAACGAAGCATTATTGCTTTGTTTCATTTTAAGAAAAGCCATTATCTACCTCTTATGTTCACATGGATATGTTTGAAAGTGTACATATAATGACTGCTCCTGAAATCTCAGAAGCCAGAGGGATGACTGAGTAAGATCATCAGTGCTTGGCAGGTGGGCTTTCAATGCCCTTGCCCTTTGAAGGCTAGCAAAACCAAAATAAAACTATGCAGAAAAACTCAATTTGCGCAATTTATACAAGCTATGAACCCCTAGCTTTCTTGTCACAGAATATAGACCCCCTGGGCGCAGAAATTTATCTATTCGGCATGGATTACACAGAACCCCACTGATGCCTAAATATAATGCCAGGGGAAGTAGAGGGGGATGCAGAGGCCGGGTGGTGGCATATCTGGCAGCGGGCAGAGCGGGAACACCTCCATGATTTTTATTACGAGGCAGGCTAAGGGCATTTAAATGAAAACATGCGAAGCAGCCTAAACATAGGCTTGGGACATATCATCAGCCTTTTGCTGAACTGACCATAACTCACCCGTCATCAAATGCTTCCCCATGCCATCCAGGTGAAGGTGAGCTGCGTGACCAAAGTCGCAGAGGACAGCATGGCTTCTGTCGCCGGACAAGAGGATGTTGTCAGCTGGCAAGGAAAAGGTCACAATGGTTTGCCTGCCATCAAGATCCAGGCGCGTCCCAATAATAATAATAATAATAATAATAATAATAATAATTTTTATTTATACCCCACCCTCCCCAGCCAAGGCCGGGCTTAGGGCGGCTAACAAGCAATAATAAAAACAAGTTGAATGAATACAACTTAAAAACAAGATTAAAATACAATTAAAATATTGAAACATTAAAATATTAAAAGGCAGCCTCATCACAGGAGGAGAAAGGAAAAAGAAAAAAGAAAGAGGGGGAGGGAATCAAATTGGCTCCAAGCCAAAGGCCAGGCGGAACAACTCTGTCTTACAGGCCCTGCGGAAAGAAATCAGATCCTGCAGGGCCCTGGTCTCATGAGGCAGAGCGTTCCACCAGGCCGGAGCCAGTGTTGAAAAGGCCCTGGCTCTGGTTGAAGCCAATCTAACTTCCTTAGGGCCCGGGACCACTAGGGTGTTGCTATATATGGACCTTAAGGTCCTCCGTGGGGCATACCGGGTGAGGCGGTTCCGTAGGTACAAGGGTCCTAGGCCGTGAAGGGCTTTAAAGGTCAAAAGCAGCACCTTAAATCTGACTCTGTACTCCACCGGGAGCCAGGGCAGCTTGAAAAGCACTGGGTGAATATGCTCCCATGGCAGAGACTCGCTGCTGCATTCTGCACCCGCTGGAGTTTCTGGGACAGCTTCAAGGGCAGCCCCGCGTAGAGCGAATTACAGTAGTCAAGCCTGGAGGTGACCGTCGCATGGATCACTGTGGCCAGGTCGGGGCAGGAAAGGTAAGGGACAAGAAGGATTTAAGCTTTGAGCAACAACAAGGCCTGGTTCTTTTTTCAGAGGAGAAACCCGTGTCTCATCTGTGCTGCTTTGGAGCAGGAGCGGAAGCTCGCTGGACTGACTCTTCCTCCGCACGACCTTCCACGGCGGCAGAATCTAGCGCCGCTAGGCTAAGCGAGAAATCCTTCTCCTCAACGTGTAGTTAGCGGGGCGGAGAATTCTTATCAACCATGTCAGAAATGGCAAAGCCAAAGACGGGTGGGTAACCTCAGCGAGAACCGTGTCAAAACCCTGCTCTCCACCCTCTCAAGAGCTGCAAGAGAGCCAATCCACTGGGGGGAGGCCAGCTCTCTGCTACCCAGAAGCCAGTTCACCAACAAGGTACGTACCTTTCACATCTCCGTGGAGAATGCTGTGAGCATGAAGGTACTCCAGGCCTTCCAGCGCTTGGCCTAGATAATCCAGAGCTCGGTCCTCCGGCAGGTAACCGCGTTGCTTCAGGAGCTGGCCAAGGGACCCACCTGCAAGGAAGAATTGCTGCTATTTTATTTATTTCCTCTGTATCCCACTTTTCCCTCTAAAAAGTGGCACACTGTCGGGCTTCAGGGAATCCAATCCTCTCCCCCACAGCAGGCTGCCAGTAATAGACAAGAAGCTCTTAGCAAGTCTTTTATTCAATATTCACATAGAGAGGTTTAGAAATGCTGCCTCTAGGAGTAATGGTGTTGCTCCGAGTGGGAAACCCCCCCCCCATCTCTCTCATTATACAGTGGTGCCTCGCAAGACGAAATTAATTCGTTCCGCGAGTTTTGTCGTCTTGCGATTTTTTTCGTCTTGTGAAGCACGGTGTCAGGAAAGTTTTGGAAAAGCTTCAAAAATCACCAAAGTCTTTAAAAACCTCAAAAAAGGCTACCACACCGCGTTCTATGAGTTGCTCCTCGAAGTCAAGTCGCAACTGTATTAACGGTGTTAAGAAAAAGGAAACAAACTTGCAAGACGTTTCCGTCTTGCGAAGCAAGCCCATAGGGAAAATCGTCTTGCGAAGCAGCTCAAAAAACAAAAAACCCTTTTGTCTAGCGAGTTTTTTGTCTTACGAGGCATTCGTCTTGCGAGGTACCACTGTATGGTGGCTAATCTGTGCCTTCTGCCTCTGAGCTCTCTGCTCTCCTACTTTTAATGCCCACCAGGTTCTGGGAGAAGAGGGGTCTGGAATGCTTTCGAAAGATACTGAGTCCATCAGCTGTCGCTCCCCACCCTGCTGCTGCTGCTTCCTGCTCCTCTCGCATTATTTCCCAGCTTTTCCCCTCATGTGCCTCTGAGTTATGACCGCCCGCAAACCAATGTTGTAAATCTATACTGCCCTCCTCTTCTCTGGAAGGGCCAGGATGGGGAGGCGGTTCCCACCATTCCTCCTCTGTCAAGTCCCTGACACGCGCATAGTCATAGCGGAACTCGCCAGATGAAACTTAACCATGCTTAGCGGCTCTGCTGGTCCCCCAAATTATTTCCATGCCAGGTCTCATTACGGTGGTACCTCGGGTTAAGTACTTAATTCGTTCCGGAGGTCCGTTTTTAACCTGAAACTGTTCTTAACCTGAAGCACCACTTTAGCTAATGGGGCCTCCTGCTGCCGCCGCGCCGCCAGAGTACGATTTCTGTTCTCATCCTGAAGCAAAGTTCTTAAACTGAAGCACTATTTCTGGGTTAGCCTGTAACCTGAAGCGTATGTAACCTGAGGTACAACTGTACTTTGCCCATGCAATAAGTTGCAAATCGCTGCTGCTGCTGCTGCTCACATGGGGCTCCATTTCTCTTGTCCTTGAACACCTACCTTCCATTAGCTTCATGAAGAGAGTAATCCACAGGCCCTCCTTCACCGCTCCGTATAACGGGAGGACTTTGGCATGCACCCCTCCAGTGCACGCCATCAGCTCCTCTGCACGGAAGTTTTCGATCCGCACCTGGATTGAAGAGAGCAAGATGGCAGGAGGGTTCACTCTATGTACGGTAGTACCTTGGTTCTCAAACACCTTGGTACTTGAACAAATCGGCTCCCAAACACCGCAAACTCAGAAGTAAGTGTTATGGTTTGCAAATGTTTTTCAGAAGCTGAACGTCCGACGCAGCTTCCGCTTGAGTGCAGGAAGCTCCTGCAGCCAACTGGAAGCCACGCCTTGGTTTTCAAACGGTTTTGGGAGTCGAATGGACTCCTAGAATGGATTACGTTCGAGAACCAAGGTACCACTTTAATTAGAAAACAACGGTGTCTACCTCTGGGGGTGGAGAGCTGGAAACAGAAGGCTTACTGAGGCCTAAAAGTGTGTATGTTGTGGGTGGAGATGGCCGACAAGCCGGTTAAGGGAGAGTCAGATCAGCAGAAGGAAGCAGGCCGCAGGTGACAAGGGCCTGAAATGCGGAACTTGAGGAAACAGCTGCCAGAGGAGGCCTGGAGACAGAGAAAGGAGGAGCCGAGATGACAGAGGGGTTCATGAAAACCATAAGGTAAAGGTAAAGGTCCCCGGATGGTTAAGTCCAGTCAAAGGTGACTATGGGGTTGCGGCGCTCATCTCGCTTTCAGGCCGAGGGAACTGGCCTTGTCCACAGACAGCTTTCCGGGTCATATGGCCAACATGACTAAACTGCTTCTGGTGCAACGGGACACCATGAAGGAAGCCAGAGCACACAGAAACGCCATTTACCTTCCCGCCGCAGTGGTACCTATTTATCTACTTGTACTGCCATGCTTTCAAAATGCTAGGTTGGCAGGAGCTGGGACAGAGCAACAGGAGCTCACTCCGTCGCGGGGATTCCAACTGCCGACCTTCTGATTGTCAAGCCCAAGAGGCTGAATGGTTTAGACCACAGCACCACCCACGTCCATAAAGAGAGCCCAGGGAAAGAAAGGGCTGTGAGCATTGACCATGAGAGCACAGGGTGGCCGTGGCGGTGGCAGAGCTAAAGTCCACCGACTGATGTGCGCCAGCCCACCAGACTGTTGTTGCAGGGATGTAGCAAATAATAAACTCTCCGAGCCACAAAAATGGCAAGCAAGGAGAAATCTACAGGGGAGTCTCATGGCACATGTTGAGGCAGTATCGGGTTACTTTTTTCCCTTCAACACAAGCGTTCAAAATGCAGCCTGGTTGTGTGTGGGGTTTTTTTTAAGCAATTGCAGCTAAGGCCAAGAGTAGAGCTAAAGAGAAAGCAGATGGTGTATCGTCTGGCCAAGCGCAGAGCTTGCTGAAGATAAGGAGGAAAATATGAGTCACTGGCGTGTTTGGCTGCTGAACGATAGCCGAAGTGGGTTTAGATCAGAACATGAGACTGCGAGGAAGGAGGAGGAGGAGGAGGAGGAGGAGGAGGAGGAGAGTTCAGAATGGGGAGGGATATATCTAGTAAGGAGGAGGCACATAATCGGAGACTTCAGCCTACTGGAAGTGCCTCCAAATATAGGCACAGCAGGGAAATACAGCTCTGTCACCCGAGCTCCCTGGCCGGGCTTCTCTGGATCACTGTTAACAGCAGTGATCACGATGTGAAGATGAACGAAGCACTTCTGTGGCTGGAGCTGAACAGCTGGGGTCTGGAGAGTATCTGCACTTAGAGAGGCCAATGAGCACATATCTTATTTTAATGAATTGACTTTTGCACAACTTCGAAAAGCTTTTACAGAGCTACGACTAAATACAATAAGCTCTGCTTATAGAGATGGGAGACACAGAGGCATACCAAAAAACGAACGTGTTTGCATTAGGGGGTGTTCTGAAGTAGAGGACCTTATGCATTATATCTTGCACTGTCCTTTATATAATGATGCAAGAAAAAGATTTTTAGTACCTATAATGACAGGGTCCCCTGGTCAGAACCCCTTTGACATGATTTTATATCTCCTCGCAGACACAGATAAGTATGTGACCTGGCGTGTAGCACTTTTTGCAACTGCTGCTAGGAAAATTAGAACAAATTATATAGCCAAGGTAGCCACTAACTGTAAAGGAGATGAATTTATTTGATCCTATCTATCTACCTCAGGCTATGCTCTATCTTTGTCACCAAACTCTGAGTATAAATTGCACACTGTATTAATTGATATTGTTTTTAACATTAGTGACCATGTGATGATTTTAGCTTATGAACTTTATTGTTTAATGTTTTTATTTGCACATTGGGGTACTTTTATAGCTCTGTTTAGAGTACGTAATGTTTTAATAATATAAATGTTTTAAGTCTTTTTATCAAATCAGTATATTTTCTTTTAATTGTCAGATAATTCTGTGTACATTGCGGCAGCCTTTGGCTATGTGCAATAAAACTGACTGAGACTAGTATCTGCATGGGAGATCACTCGAGAAGCACGCGCATTGGGGAAAGGACAGGATACAATTAGGTCGGCTAAGCTACACCAGTATCATATGAGGGCCGTACAATCAAATTGCTGCAAGAATTCCCCTACAAATCGCCACCACTGCCCTGCCTGCAACCCCAATGGGTCAGTGCATCTGGCTGCTAACCGAAAGGTTGGCAGTTCGAGCCCACCCAGGGACATCTATGGCAGGTTTCCTGCACTGCAGGAGATTGGACGGGGTGGCCCCTGGGCTCCCTTCCAACCCTACAATTCTATTATTCTGTGAACACTGTGCAAGAAAATTGCAGCTTCAATCGTCAGATTGAAGAATTCTCTGAAAACAGAAAAGACTGTTTATATATGCGACGATAGCTGCGCGGATGTTACTAGCCCAGAGATGGAAAGAAGATAAAGTCCCTATTGGAGAAGAATGGCAGACTAAGTTGATGGACTGTGCCGAAATGGCAAAAATGACCGGAAAAATCAGAAATCAGGAAGACCAAAACTTTAATAAAGAATGGGGGAAACTTTTAACTTACCTTGGAGAACACTGTAAACAGTTAAAATCATTAGTGAGATTGCAATAACACTTGTAATGTAATGAGAACTATGGATGATATAAAGATATAAAAATTGGGGTGATTATTTAAAAAACATGCAGCAGAAAAGGTTCAATAATGGGACCCACGGAGGGGAGGAAGGAAGTCCAGGGATTTGTGGGAATCCCAGTCTATGTAAGGTAAGAATGTAAATTTTAATATGCAAAACCAAAAAAGCAAACTTATCGGGTGGGGGGGGAGAATTCTCTGCTGCTGCCATTTAGCACTTCTGTCTTTAAAAATATTGTCTCTGCCACCAGTTGCTCTCAAGAGAAATCAAGGCTATCAGTTTGGACTTTGTGCAAGAGCAACCCTCCCCACATAGCTTGCTGCACCCAACACCCACGCACGGCAGGAGATTCCACCGCCCGGTGTCTCCAGGGCAACGCCTTCCGCCTTGACCTTGAGATCAGCCACAAACAAGTTGCAGCAAAGCGACTGCTCCAGCCCCAGCCCTCAGCAGCTCCAGCAGAAAGGAAAGGAGCTTTCAGTTCCCCTTTTGATTTCGCTTTCCCTTGCCTCGGGCAGAACTGGGTTCGGGGCATTTGCATACCTTTTTGGCAGCACACTGAAAGCCCGTCTGCTTGTCCTCCATTTTGTACACTTCACCAAACGATCCTGTGCCAAGCAAGCCTGGACATTTGGTCCAGTGGACGCCTTCGCGATACTCATAATCCACGGCTTTCAGTTTCTGAGGGATGGCAAGAGCAGTATGATAAGGAACAGGGGTCAAGGAAAGGGGGAAGAACTGCCAACGGCAGTGACAGGGGTACAGGGACATAGGCACTTCCAAGCCAGCCTGTTTAGCTAAAGTCATTTAACCCAAGAAACTGGCCACACGCCTACAGGTTTTCCCTCTTCCACCAGAAGTTCTGGAGCAGTGGTTCTCAAACTTTTTTTTCTGGGCCACACTTTCAGGATAAAAATTTGCTCGTGCCACACCAACTTTTTCATTGACAAGAAAGACATTGGAAAACAAAAAGAAACAACTCCAAGCAGTGCCTGATCTACAGCACAGAACACAACTACTTTATAATATGATAATGGGACATCTTTTATGCAGCTACCTAAGACTATGGGTCATTCCAAAAATGTAATTATAAACCAGCCTCTTACATACAGGCTCAATGAAAGGTCTAAGCTTGCTTTTGCTGGCTAATCTCATTTATGTTAGGTCTTATCTGAGACAAACAAACTCTCATCTCCTCACCAACACAAATAAACGTTTCTTTTTTTCTGATGAGTTGAAAATCCCTGTTCACACCAATATGTTATGGAGAACGGTAGAATAGCCAATGCACTTGAAGAAAGCTGTGGATACTGTTTCTGGTTGTCCCTGAATCTTCCTGCCACACCTGCCATTCTCTCACCCTTCTTGAGACTCACTGTCAACACCCCTCCCCGCAAAATGCAATACCTTAAAACCACTCTTCAGGAGCCCTGCTTCCAAAGTATTTTGAGATGTCTGCTATCTGTCCCTAAGCTTACCCATCTAGTGCAGGAGAAGGACTGTTCCAGTGCTGTGTATTCACGCCATGTGAGCACTTTCCTGCCCCCATAGCTCAGCTAGTTGGAGCGTGGTACTGATAATGCCAAGGTTGCAGGTTTGATCCCCATATGGGACAGGTGCGTATTCCTGCCTTGCAGGGGGTTGGACTAGAATCAGCCTTTCTCAACCTGTGGGTCCCCAGATGTTGTTGAACTACAACTCCCACCACCCCTGGCTAGCAAGGCCAGAGCTCAGGGATGATGGGAGTTGTAGTCCAACAACATTTGGGACCCACAGGTTGAGAACCGCTGGACTAGATGATCCTCAAAGTCCCTTCCAACTCTATGATTTTGTTGAACACTGATTTTATACATATGAAATAAACCAAAGGAGCAAGTCCCCTTTGGGCTGGTTTGTGGATGACAAATGCACAGAATATGCACTGCTAAAGACCAAAGACCTTCTAGCTCAATCGCTGAATAGATGCACAGCAGAACCATACCTTTCAGAAAGCAACACAGGTCTTCAAAAAATGAAGCAGGGACTACACCTTCAACTGGGGGAAATGAATATCCAGCTCCCATCTAGCTACGAAAAGGATCTTGCTCAAATTGTTTGCAATAACAGATTCCTGCAGCTTATACCACCACCACCCCACACACATGGAAAGATTTCCGAACTTTTCTGAGTAACTGTTCCCACTAACTTTCCTTTAAAAATTAAAAGTGCTTTAAAGCACGTAAAGAATATTGCACGACCAGGTAAGACCAAAAGGTCTACCTAGGGCATCATCCAGCTTCTAACAGCCCATGAATCTTGGGAACCCTACAAACAAGGCCCAGAGGCAATGCCATCCCCAGTGATGTTCCCGTTAGCAAGTGTTATTCAGGCATACACTGCATTGTTTAAATCCTAAAATCACACAGCTGTGAATTGGTCTAATTCTTTTGGAAACTATTTAACCAAGTGGCCGTCTCCACATCATGCATTAATGAATTCTAGAAGCCCGCTATGTGTTCCATGAAGAAATACTTCATTTTGTCCATCCCGAATCTAGCACCAACCAATTTCACTGAGCGACTCAGGGGTTCATTGTTACTACTGAGGGCCAAACAAAGTTCTCTCTCCACACCAGTCACAATTCCAAACTCTTGTATCACTCTCTGAATTCAGCTATCTTTTTTCCCCTTTTCCTTTTCAATCTATAAAGCCTCAAATGCTTTGATTTCCCCTCATAGGAAACATTCTCTTGTGTGGGCATACCCAAGTTAGATGGGTCACCCAAAGTGGCAGCTCTTCCCCAATCCTACATCATGTAGACATTGCGGGTGGATGCAGGACATCAGAACACTTCTGGTCTCTGCCCATGAGATGCTATCTTGCCATGTGTGGTTGATGGTTCTTGCCTGAGTATCTCCCCTGAAGCACAGATTGGGAGAGGGGCTACAAGCAAACCTCTCATATCCAGGCTTCCACTCCAGCCCTTTTCTGCCTTACACACTTCAGTTTTTACTCAATTATCTGTGAGCAATAGGCAATTCCCCCGCCCAGGCTGATCCCAAAAGATATCCTTCATCCCCATTGTCAAACTTCTGCAGGGGTCCTTCAAGGGTGAGCATCTCCTACTGTTCCCATTGGAGTATTTATCCACTTTTACCCCTAACAAGTAAGATCAGGCGCATGCAGTGATACCCCACAGTCCTTTCCCTCTGCTTTTCTAGACAGCAAACAGTTATTTTCTTCAGAGCTGCCAGAAGAGGCACCTACTCTGACAGCGTTCACACATGAACAGCTAAAGGGCTGGAGTACTCTTGAAAGCAAAGTCCCCGTCCTCCTCACATAACTCCTATCTCAGTGAAGAGCTTTAAAATCACATTAAAAAGAAGTCTCGTCTACTGAAAAAAAAATATATCACGTACCAGAGCCCTTTCCAAGCTATCCCACTTGAAACAGCATGTGAGGAAATTACCACTCATCAAAACCTCCCTGCATGTGGAGATCTGGCGTGTCAGGACAAAAGGCAGTAGCCTCATTCTTAGGCCTGACAGTTTGCTGCGCTGGGTTTGTTTTTGTGATGTCCTCCACACAAGGGAGCCCTCAAGCAAGCAAGCCCTCACTTGCAGCCTCGAGTGATATATTCAAAGGAGGCTGTAACACAAAATATTTCCAAACGTGTATTAGTCCTCCTCAGAGGAGGCCCAATGAAATTAATCAGCCCAAGTTAGTCATGCCCATTAACCCCAATGTGTCTACTGTGAGCAGGACCAGTGCTGAATAATAATAATAATAATAATAATAATAATAATAATAATAATAATAATTTATTACTTATACCCCACCCATCTGGCCACCCAAATAGCACCCAAACTCTGGTTCTGAAGTTTAAACAAGGCCCCAGGCAATGGGTTGCTCTGGTCCCTTACTTCCCAGAACATGGTGGAATCTACCCTGAGGAAGATGCCATTGTCACCCCTAGCTTCATCTTTTGCGAAGGCTCACCTCTATAAGCAGCACCCCTTCATTTCCATCCATCCCCTTTGGACTCAATCCACCTCCTTTCCAGGTCTTGGCTAAACAAGCTAGGTTTCTTGGTTCTCCGAGGATTACACTTCCCTTCAAGGCATCCACCAGAAATTCTTCCATGGACAGCTTGTCTGAGATGCTTTCTGCAGGCTGGTGGCTACATTTGGAGAAGCTCCGCTCCAGGCTCAGGCCTGAGAGGCGTTGCTCACCATCCACACAGGAAAGCTCATCAAAGAGATGGGTCCTCAGAGGGTTGAGTTTCAAGGGAGGAAAGAGGTCGCTGTAGCCACAGAAATCAAGGGGGAACTTCCGATAAGGGAAGGGGTGTGGAGTCTCTGACTGAGGGGTCAAAATGTCTTGTGTGTGGGCCTTCCAGACATGGCTCAGGCACTGAGCAGGGCTGATCAGCTTGTGTAATTCTAGCTTTCCTCGGTTCTTCAGCAAGTCCAACTTGCCAGCAGGTAGAGCTTGTTTGGGTTTCTCCAAGGGGCTGAGATCGCAGCCCAAATCCTTGCATGACTTTGAAAGCCAGGAAGCGCTACTGAAGAGGGTGTCCGAGGGCGAGTCATCCTCCTGGAAGTAAAGTGGGAAAGAGTTACGTCAAGCAGGGAATGATTCTCTCAGCAGGGGCTGCTCCCAAAATACAAGCCTCACTGACAGGGTCTGGGGAAAAAATATTTCAAATGTTTAGGTGCCAGGCCAAAAATGCGTTTCAAAATTATTTGGGGCCAGATTCCGGGTTTCAGAAGGTATTGGTAAACCAGATGCCTGGGATTTTGCTTGTTCTTACTCCCAAGAAAGTCCTATAGGGAAAGGTAAAGGGACCCCTGGCCATTAGGTCCAGTCGTGGCTGACTCTGGGGTTGCGGTGCTCATCTCGCTTTATTGGCTGAGGGAGCCGGCGTACAGCTTCCGGGTCATGTGGCCGGCATGACTAAGCCGCTTCTGGCGAAACCAGAGCAGCGCACGGAAACGCCGTTTACCTTCCCGCCGCAGCGGTACCTATTTATCTACTTGCACTGGTGTGCTTTCGAACGGCTAGGTTGGCAGGAGCAGGGACCGAGCAACGGGAGCTCACCCCGTCGTAGGGATTCGAACCGCCGACCTTCTGATCGGCAAGTCCTAGGCTCTGTGGTTTAAGCCACAGCGCCACCTGTGTCAAGAAAGTCCTATACCTGGGCATGATTGAAGAAAACATAGAAAAGGCCTTACCTGCACTGGAATTGGCATGCAGCTCTCCTGCTCTGGGGTTCTTGGCTTGTGAGGTGGGGAGGCCGACTCCTTGTGTGTCAGAAGATGGGATCTTTTCTTTCGCCGTTTCTTCCGGGACTTGCCACGATGCATGGCTTTCCTGTAGGCTGGGGCGATTTTGCCCTCAGTTGCGTAGGCCACATTGTTGGGGATCTGATCGAGGCTACAAGACCGGCTGGCACAGAGAAGGGTATTGCAAAGGTATTTTAGTTTAAAAGCAGCAGCGACGGAACATGGCCTTCTCTAGCTGAATTGAAAACTAAGAAGTATAAAAGGAGAAGTTAGAAGAACCTCTAGATCCTAAGAACAACGAAGCTTCTTGGCCACAAAATGGAATTCCATTTTGGCAATGGATTATACGAGACACTGCATTAAGAAACAAACAAAAATAGTGCGACAAACACTAATTTTAATTTATGTGACCTAAGTCCATTTCTTAAAATGTATATTTTGCACGGTCAAAGTACAAAATACATCTCTGTCCTTTTCAACAATGTTTTGGGGGTTAAAGGTGTTAGTCTATTGGGAGTGAGGGAGCTGCAATGCTGAAAGAACTGCCCTTATTCTGAATTGGCCTTGTTTGACCTCAGAAGTGTAGTCATGTTTACCATGTGATCTCTGATTGGCTAGGATCGTTTTGGGAAGGAAAAGCAGCCCTAAAAAGCAGTGGGAAGGGGCAGTGGGAGGGAGACAGTGGCTTCACAACAGCCATCAACAACTATGGAAAAGTGACAAAAAATGGATTTTTTGATAGGAGACATTTTACCCTTTGTACAAATAAGCAATTATTTCTTACACACATACCTCCCCCCAATGGATGACTGTTCAGCTCAACCTCGTGTACTTTGTGCTTTTATCAGAAATCAGGTACAAAATAATACACAATAACTTGGATGTTCCCCCACTCTGCAGCTTCCTATCCTTTCTGTTACTTAAAGCTTTCAAAGTCATTGGCATGTGCCTTGTTCACACCTCACACTATTCCAAACCACAGTTTAGTGTGATTTCCCCAGGTACTGTGCTGCCCTGCTGTAAGCCACAGCTTGGGCTTGGCATGTCGTCTGGGAGCAAACCTTGGTTACAGCTTGTGATTAATCTAGAGAGAGCTGAGCCACAAGGCCAGGTTCAAAGGACACGCTGAGCCAAGCCATGGTTAAGTTCAGCACGGTGCAGCAAAAATGACGGCAGGAGCAAAGGAGCCATGTTCTCCATGCAAGCCTGCATAAAACATACCAAGCCATTGTTTGGCTCAGCATCACATGAGAACTAGGCCTCATATATAATAAACTCCATTGTGAATATTGGGTATTCAAAGCAAATCCTGTTCCCAGGATACAGGGTTAAGATGAAGTAGAAGATGCATTCTAGAATCAAAGTTCCCGCCCCACAATGCAATTGAGATTTGTGGCTCTTTCTGTGTTACAGGGGAGACCTTACCTGAATCGTTTGGTGTCAGCAAGAAAAGGCCTCTCAGAATACGTAGGGCTGAACTCCTGGCTGATCTCACCTGCAGGGGAAAGCAAACAAGGCCAATACAAGCCAGGGTGAGGCAGGAAATGGCAGAGTCATACCATCTTCTGGAAATCAGCTTTGCTGTAGCGAAGGAGGATGTCAAAACATAACTCCCAAAAGAGCCACGAGATCACCAAGAGGGACTGTGAGTATTCTGTTTGGGGAGATGTGGGGAAGAATCACAAATCTGGATGAAAAAATATGCAAGCCAGAATCCAAATAATTGCATATTTGGTATCAATGTCCATGGGAGTTTAGGATTTGTGTCTGGAGGGAGGGACATGCTAACTGCTTTGCAAGCGGCTTCAAAATTTGGAGTGTGTTTCAGGAGCAGTTTACAATACAGCATAGGAGAGGACGGCTCAGTGGAAAAAAGGCTCCTGGGCATGGATAAAGTAGCCCTGTTTTAACACTTCAATTTCTCTTGTGCCTCATAATTGTTGATCTTTCCTACAGTATTCTAACTAAACCACTTGTATTTCCCAGAATTTGATCCCCACAAGAGTTACATCTGTTTGGTTTCTTTTATTTAAGGTAAAGGTAAAGGGACCCCTGACCATTAGGTCCAGTCGTGGCTGACTCTGGGGTTGCAGCGCTCATCTTGCTTTATTGGCCGAGGGAGCCAGCGTACAGCTTCTGGGTCATGTGGCCAGCATGACTAAGCCGCTTCTGGCGAACCAGAGCAGCGCACGGAAACGCCATTTACCTTCCCACCGGAGCGGTACCTATTTATCTACTTGCACTTTGACGTGCTTTTGAACTGCTAGGTTGGCAGGAGCCAGGGACCAAGCAACAGGAGCTCACCCCGTCGTGGGGATTTGAACCGCCGAGCTTCTGATCGGCAAGTCCTAGGCTCTGTGGTTTAACCCACAGCGCCACCCGTGTCCCTTCTTCTATTTACTACTGCATAAAATGTTATTCTGACATACCAGCTCCTTATACCTCAGCAGTTGGGATCCTCCTGCAATGGCTGGTGAGTGAAGCAACAGCAATCATGGGGAATGTCTGCTGAACAAGTTTCCCATTAGTTGGGCTGATGGGGTTGCAGGTCTGCTAGAGGGCTTTGATGCAGAAAGCTACAGCTACAGCTTCACCCCCAGCCACAATCCAATTTTAGCCCGCCATCCACTCAGCGTTGCAGCTCCCCACTTACATTCTGCCTGGGCAATGATGGAGATGGAGGCTAAGCTCCCTTTCCCACTGTCTTCCTTGGCAGTTCCTTTGGCAATCACGTCGCTCAGAATCTTCCACGGTCCCTGGAACACATTTTTCTCTGGATCCTCTACTTTGCAAACGCTGCTCTTTTTCTCAGTCACCACCTTCTTCGGTCCCTTATCCGTAGGAAGCTCCTTTGGGTGCCCAACGATAACTGGAGCATCTTGGCAAGCTATTTCCATTACGGCCATCTCCTCCTTTTGCTAGAAGGCTGGAAGATAAATCCCACAAAAAAGAACAAGCATTAGAACAGATGCCCTCTTCATAGAACCATAGTACTATGGGGTAATCAGGGACCCTTGAGAACATCTAGGGCAACCCCCTAAATGCAGGAATCTCAACACACAGTCCAGAATGTACAGACCACACACTATTGAGTTCTCCTTCCCTCTCACAAGCACACTGATGATGTCTGATAACAGGGAGCATTCACTAGCGGGGGAAATGTGCAAGGTGGTCACTACAGACCTCTCTCTCTCTCTCTCTCTCACTTGCTCATAATTCACATGTCCCTCTCAAGCAAACCACACATGCACACAGGCCACACATTCCTATCTTCCCCCCCCCCCACAACACACACCAGCTATAAATACATATCTCTCTCAAGTGCATCTCACATATGATGGGTGCCTGCAGGAAACTGGGGGGGGGGGGTCAGGGGAAGTAAAACACAGAAAGGGTGGAATAGGCTAATTTCTCGCAAAAAAATCGAGAAGGATTGTGTCTGTATGTTTTGCCTTGTATCTCAGGTTCTAACTACCACTACTACTATTTCATCTTTATTCATTATATGCCGCACATCTGACTGGGTTGCCCCAGCCACTCTGCAAGGCTCCCAACAAAGTATTAAACACACAATAGAACCTCAAACATTAAAAACTTCCCTGCAAACGCTAGGAACTTGCTTAAAACCAAAATGGGGAAACTGAGGGTGATGGTACATGCTGGGGGCAGCAAAGAAGGCTTTCATGGGCACTATGGTGCCCGTGGGCATGGGATTGGCAATTCCTGAACAGGATGCTTTGGGCAGTGGTTACAAGGTGGCTGTTCCTTCCTGTTCTGGGTGGTGAGAGGGAAGGATAGATAGACACATTCCCCCTTTCCTTCCCCCACCTCCATTTTCCTTGCTGTCTTGCATCACATTAGAAGGTTCAGGTCTGGGCTGGTTGCCAGTCCTGACTGAGAGCATTATATTGCTATTTAGCGTGGGCGGGTGGGTAGGGGAAGACTCTGGGGAATAAGAAACCGGGAAAGGCATTCAGGGAAGTGGGGACAGTTCTCCTATAGCATGTGAGAAGCTTTTAAAAATCTCGTGGCACATTCCTCCTCCAGACTTCGCTTTCAGGGCATGCATTTTTAGGGAGGCTAGTTCTCTCCCCACCCCACCCCCTTTCTGTCCTTCAACATTCAGTGTTTGAACCAATTTAGACCTATGGACTAAATTGGAAAGCTCACACAGTCCGCCATATGTCTGGTTCCTTTCAGACCCCTCCAGACCCCCCCCAACAGTGCAAACATGAGAATATAGCAGAGAAATAAAGCAAGGATTTTAATGCAGCTGTGACTGGGCATCAGTGATGGGTCATCTTCCCCGCAAACGAGGGGGAAAGTGAGGCTTGTCACCAAAAACGGGGTACCTCGGGTTACATACGCTTCAGGTTACAGACTCCGCTAACCCAGAAATATTACCTCGAGTTAAGAACTTTGTTTTAGGATGAGAATAGAACTTGTGCAGCAGCGCAGCTGCAGCAGGAGGCCCCATTAGCTAAAGTGGTGCTTCAGGTTAAGAACAGTTTCAGGTTAAGAACAGACCTCCAGAACGAATTAAGTTCTTAACCACTTAATTAACCGAGGTACCATTGTATTGATAGGCATTCTGAGCTATGTCTTGCGTGCAGTGTTTCAGTGCAAAGATAACATTAAGGTTTTTTTATATTCCATATTTGGTAGCTTTCAATGGCATACAGCTCTGAGCTTTGGATTAAGCGAGCAGACTCTCCCTGACAGGGAAAGGAACTGCGGGGCACACTGCTCTCTTAGCCGCAACTGCAGCTGTATCAAACCGATCCGGCACCCGGCCTCCTGACAGCAGAGAATCCTTTCCCTGTTTCGCAAGGCTCTTTCGTGGCAGGGTGCCTGCCAGTTTTCCGCCTCTCCTTTGAGCTTCACGCTAGCAAAGGGCACTTCCCTGTGCTTCTGATGAGCCAGAAGCAGAATGGGGGAACCTCCAGACACTCCACCCAACTGGAGTGGGTCTTGCGAGAGATGGTGTCCTGTCTTCAGCTTGCAAGCCTTGCCCAGGCTGGGCACCCCTGTCTCCCACCACTTCCCGGCACAGGCAGGTTTCCAGACAGGCAGAGGTGGTGTCGGCTGGCTGGCAAGGGTGTGGCAGAGGCTCAACGAAGGGCTGCACACACACTTTCTCAGTGCTCTTTCCTCCTGACCACATACACAGTACAGCCTTTTTTCTGTTTTTAGGAAATCTGTCCTCTTTAGGCAGTTTTTTTTCTTTTAATGCACTTCTGCAAACCTTGGGGTTCTCTCAAACAAGTAAAATACCTGTTTTTACACTGGCCCTATGTTGGCTACAAAGCTGTTATTGGGGGAGTGGTTTAGTCCCATGTTATTTATTCTTATTTAAACAGTTTATATATCCCTTAACTCCCATGGTTTATAAAAACGCAATGCAAAAAAGGAGGAAGTTAAAACTATAAAATCTCTATTAAAATGCCTGATGGATGTTGGGTAGGGAGGGGGGAGTGTCTGACTTCAACTGGAAGGGAGTTCCATAAAATTGTGCCCTCAATACTAAACTCACAGCTCCTGGTGGATACAAGCCCTGCATCCAAGCCATGGGGGACCACCCCAAAAAACATTGGTGATCGGGCAGGGATATAAGAGACTGGGAAGTCCTTGCAGTATCCTGAACCCAAATTGTTAAGGGCCTTGCAAATTAATACAAGCACATTGAACCTGGCCTGGTAGCATATAGATTTTTGTTGTTGTAGGTGCGGTGTTTTTTTTTTAGTCTCTATAAAATTTATTTAATTTTCAGATTTTGAAATTTACAAAAATGATCCTGGATACCATGATGGTCTATGGGATCAAAAGCCACAGAGAAAATGAGAAGCAGAGTCAAACTCCGGCCACAATCCTGCCCTTGCCTTTACCTGACCAGCAACGCTTACCTTTCCACAGACTCCTAACGATTATTGTTTAGTAGACCATTTTAAACCTGCCTTTTAACTTCAAAAATGCCCAAGGAAGTTCACAATATAAATGAAATTAAAAATGAAGAGCATAATTAAATAATTAATTAATAATTTTAATTAAAAAAACTGCAGATAAAAACAAATTCAGATTAAAATGATGGGACAAAATGCTCCACACACTGGGGAAAGTATCAAATGCTTGCCAGAAAAAGAAGTCTTCACACCTAGGCACCTTTCCACCTGTGACCAACACCCTTGGCCCTGCTGAACTTGCTGCTTCAAGGTCACAGCTCACCTTGATAGTTCTGGCTTCTACCTCCCAAGGCTGCTTCTTGGCTTTGCACCAAGTGACAGCCTCTGTCTGAGAGCCTGCTTCTGCTGCCATCTCTGTTCCTGTAATGAACGCCCACGGCCCATTTCCCAACACTGATAATGCACTCTGGGCAGGATCTCTTCCCGTGTTCTAGTTGCAAAGCTACCAGCTATGAATGGGGAATCAGCTCGGCCTTTTTTCCGCTGCAACTTGCCTCAAGTGTTTCCAAGTGCACTTCGTGCAAGGATTCCCTTCTGTGTTTTGAGAAGGGAGAAGTTAGGCCTCAAAAGTGAAACCAAGTCATCTGATTGCCATATACAGTAGTTGCAGGCGGAAGCGGTGAGGTTCTCACAAATCACTATTTCATTTTAGTAAGGCCTCAAGCCTCATCTTCCTGAAAGGGAACAGGAAGCAAAGGCCCTCCTTGTTAAAATAATATTTAGCTGCCCTTCCTGAACCTATTCAGGAAGATACAACAAACAATAGGGCGCTGTTTCAGGGGTGACCTTATCTGCAGCAGGGAAGAAAGGCTGCTTCCTCTCTGCAAGATGCTTTTTACCCAAAATCGAAAGTCATTGTTCCTTGTCCCAAGGTAACCCCTGCCTACCCAAACAAGGAATCCTAGGGTGCCTGAGCTACATATTCCTGTGTCAAAATAAAGAAATAAAACACTTGTGGCACTTTAGAAGTGCTAACAGACAGACTGATGCAGAGGTGGGCAACCTGTTGGTCCATAGTATGAATAATCTGCCTGATGTCAGTGTCCAGGTAGAGACAAGGTCTGGATGAACACATCCAGAATCAGAGATGGGAGAGGTTTCCATTTAAAATGCTAGACTACTGCATCCACACTTCCTGAAACAATACAGGTGGCAACCATTTTGCTTGCGTTCAACTGATGCACGGGTCGTTTGGGAACTGGAAGAGGGCATAACGGGGGGGGGGGCATAATGGGGCAGGCTTATGCGTGCTCCACCAAATCATGTGAATGCCCAGAATGCTGCCCACGCACAAATGGGGAGTTGCCTGTCCGCAAATCAAAGCACAGCCACCCTTCAGCATTTGCACTTCTTTGAACTTGCAGTTGTCTAACAAATCCTCAATTATTCTTTTTACAAGAATATGTGTATTAGGGGAAAGTGTGCATTGCAAGCATGCATGTCGTAAAAATGCATTATATCAAGGAAACTGCTTACAGAAGTGTGTGTGTTTGTGTGTTAGGAGAAATGTACACTAAAATTATGGTGATTTTTTGGTGAGGAGGTTCCTTTTCCAGGTCAAAACTGATGTGCAATTGTAAAGAACAAACCTAAAACTGGAAAAATGATAAAACAGATAAACCAAATCCAACAAATTAATCTATTAACCCTAACTGGATTAAAGGTTGTCCTGTTAAGAAAGGGGTTGCTCCATTTCATTTTTACTTAAATAACAGCAACCATGGTACGTGGGAAAGTGGTAGGTTAGTCTTTTCTCATCACACCACAGACTCAAATGAAAGCTGCCCCACCTAGAGCTGTTCCTCATCATGGCAACTATTTGATTTCAGGAGAAAACCAAACCACACATTTAACAGTGTATAGTTTGGCTCTTAGTCTACAAGGACCATGTGCTGCTAGCATCCCATTGCTGCATTATTAATCAAGACATGGAAGCTGAATTTGCAAACCACCAATTCTGGAATACTGTATGTGCTTTCCAGCCTGTGTTGCATTTTTAATTTTACACATTTCAGGCAGAAGCAGGCAGGAAACATCTGGCAAGCAACCACAGCAGCAGCTGTCCATTCATCACCAATGAGGTATTTGAAACTTGTGTGTTGTATCCCCGCCCCTCTTAAGAGAAAATGTTCCATTCCAGAGTACAGTGGTACCTCAGGTCACATACGCTTCAGGTTACAGACTCCGCTAACCCAGAAATAGTGCTTCAGGTTAAGAACTTTGCTTCAGGATGAGAACAGAAATTGTGCTCCGGCGGTGCAGCGGCAGCAAGAGGCCCCATTAGCTAAAGTGGTGCTTCAGGTTAAGAACAGTTTCAGGTTAAGAACGGACCTCTGGAACGAATTAAGTACTTAACACGAGGTACCACTGTAATACAAACAAGCAATTTGTACCTTGTATCTATCTTGGCAAAACTGCATCTCAAGCATCAGCAATTTAAACACTGAGGATTGCTTTAAGCCAGTCACAGGGTGTTCCAAAAAACTACAATTTCATCTTTAATACACAGTGGACTTGAACCCATGAAACCTTATGCTGCAATAAAAGTCTTTAAGGTGCTGCAAGATTCTTTGCTGTTTTAACCCTAGGTTTGCAAACAATTGATCACCTGGGTGAGCAGGAATTGTCTCCAAGCAACCAAGTGGGGAAGAGTTTGTAAACTGAAAGAGAATTAGTTTGTTTTCATCTTCAGACCGAAAAAGATATGTGTCAGCTGGTAACTTATTTACAAGACTAAACCATATTCCAAATTTCTCAAAATACATCCTGTAATGTTAAGGAGAAGCACCAAGCAGACACAGTATATGCTGGATTTTAATACACACAGGAAATCTTAAACTGCTATTAATAATATTTTAAGACTATTACATTTACAGTTTTGTTTTTTGTTTTTTAAATGCAAATAAGGATTGGCATGTCTTTTCATTGCACAGCACGTTGCCACAGATTTGTAGGGGGAAATGCATGGAACTGGAAGCCAAGAGAATATTGACCTGTTAGACTCAGACTGACTGGACATCACAGCTACAGGAAGAAAAATAAAGTATAACAAGCCACTGAAGCTTCAACCACAAGAGCATAAGAGGAGCCTTCTGGGCCATCCCATCCAGTCCAATATCCTGTTCTCACAGTGGCCACCCAGATGCCCATGGGAAACCCACATGTATCACCCAAACACAGGAGCACTCTCCCCGCTTGAGGTTTCCAGAAACTGCTATTCAGAAACGTAACTGCTTCCAACCACAAACCACAGAAACACCACTTCTGTGGTCTCTGAAACTGTACCAGACACTATCCAGACCATATTACCACTTCAGCATTAACTTTGATAGAGTTTTGTCCACACTGAACAAAAATGCACTACTGTCCTTATGCTACAGCAAAGTTATGAAACTCAAAGGTCCGTACATTTTTTTGTTGGCCTTGGTAGCAAAGGCAAGACCTGTTATCGTTAGGATCCATCCCTTGCCATCGGCACAATTTTCTACGCCTACTTGCTGAAAAGCCACATTATGTTCTATGGGGCTTACACACCTAGGGATGCGTGTGTACAGGATTGCAGTCCTGACCTCACATTGAACCTCCATGGGAAGTCAAGGACAATTCCCCTTCTGCAGCTCTAAACCTTAGGTGCTGGGGGAAGGGATTACAGTGGTACCTCAGTTTAAGAACAGTCCTGTTTAAAAATGATTCGGTTTACGAACTCCGCAAAACCGTAAGTAGTGTCCCAGTTTGAGAACTTTACCTCGATCTAAAAACGGAATCCGAACGGTGGAAGGGCACCAGCAGCGGCAGGTCTCATTAGGGAAAGCGCGCCTCAGTTTAAGAATGGTTTCGGTTTAAGAACGGAATTCCAGAATGGATTAAGTTCATAAACGTACCACTGTATTATTAGTAGTAATAGTAACAGCAGTATACCACCCTGTACCTGTAGATCTCAGGGCAGTTCACAACATAAAAGGACAATATGAACACAAAATACATAATAAAAATAGAAACAAAAACAACCCAATAATCCACAACACAAAGCAACCAGTCCCAACTTTCCTCTCTAGGTTGTAGACATAAAGTAAAGCAAGCATCTTTTCTATCACTACGCTGAGCTCTCTGAAGGTCAGTGCAATTGAAGGGGTGATTTCTCTATTCACCCAACCAAGGTTCCAAGCTAGAGGGGAATGTTGGGGCTCCCCTTGCCATCGCTGTCTTTGGGCAAAAACTACTGTGGCAAGAATGGCAAACAGAAATGTAAACCCAAACTTACAACCTTTTTTCTTTTGATAGGTCTTTGGCCCAATTGGCAATGCCTGCCTCCCCTGTTTTTGTGGCTGTGTTAACTGCTACACTTTGCCTAATTTTCTTGAATGCATTTATTTTTAATTTTGATTTAATCTATATTAGACATTTCTAAAAGAAACGGAAAGCCAAGGTAAAATGCTTTATAACTTTCAGACCTCACATTTCTGGTGTAGAGCCTGGCAGGCTACTAGCTTGCTATTTGAAAGCTACTGTAGACAAGAAGCAGCCTGTTAGTCCTGGATGAAAAGAGCTGCTAGATGAAGGCATATGGGCTATGCTGTTACGTTTAGGCTAAGTAAGTTAAACCGAACAAGGTGTGTGCAGGTAGCCTGGGAAAGGGCAAGTAAAGGTTCAAAGCGCACAGGAAATAAACTCCTCACATGCTGCTCACCAAAGCTTACTGGGAGGCATAACTTGCTACATGCTGGAAGGTGCATTCAAGCTTATTTTCCTTTTTCCATCCCATCCTTCCTCCAAGGTTCTCACAGTGGCACACATACACCCCTGCAAGGGAGGTTAGGCTGAGAGGCACCCACATGGCCTGGGGTCATCCTTTGGGGTTTTGAAACCAGTCAACCCAAGTCTAAGCCCACTGCAGTCATTACATCTTGTAAGGATAATATCTAGTGGTTTATTTACAAAGTGCTTTGTACACTCCTCTTGAGTGCCCAATAAGGTGCTGAGCGGGGAGAAGAGACCTATCTATCTATACAAAACATGCATGGGGGGGGGGACAAGTAGCAAAACTTTCAGGCAAAGCAGAAAACAGCCTGCCAGCTTTTTAATTCTGTCAGCTTCCTCCCAATTTTAATTCTGTTAACTTGGCTGACAGCTCCATCACAGAGCAGGAGACTCTTAAATCTCAGGGCCGTGGGTTCGAGTTCCACACTGGGCGAAAAAATCCTGCCTTGCAGGGGATGGAACTAGATGATCCTCAGGGGTCACTTCCAACTCTATAAATAGTCAATGGTTCTAAATTCTCAACAATGGGATATTAGCTCCACCCAAGGCATGATAGAGAACACCGGGAAAAGATAGACATAATATTTTACAAGGACAGGAAGAAACATCACAGACAGAATAATTGCCACACACAGGAAGAACAAGGATATAGTTTGAACACTTCACCTGCAGGTTTATAAATCATTTAATGTGTCCATACAAATGGAAGTTGTTGATATTGGAGTTGTATAAGGGATTGCTATTTTGACTGGAGTGTAATTGAAATTAATAAGATTTTGGAACGCAGAAATAAAGTAAATCATCAAACCATCTATTCTAGCATGCAGGGGGGGACACCGAAAGTATATGATTTGGCATCTGAATGATTGGTACTAGTAATTGTATTCTAATTTGGCATTGCTATAATGAGGCTATTATTGGATTATTGTAACTGAAAACTATTTTTTTTTTTTTAATGATTCTAAATTCTCATCCAGAGACACTTAGGAGGTGGGAACGAGAAACAGCCACGCTAGGCAAGCAATAGTTGCGGCAAATTAGGACTCCGGACCCGGCACGGGGGTGGGGAGGTAATAGCTTGAGAGAGCTGCGGTCCTTCCTCGAAAGACTACAACTCCCATCATCCTCGGCCGCCGACGGGCGCTGCTTTCGCACAGGATGGAGGAAAAAGAAGCCTGAAGGAAGTTTTGGCTGAGGAGCGCAGAACATATACACACACACACACACACACACACACACACGAACATACCCCTCTAAGCCGCGAATAGCGGGACCGGGCTGAGGGCTGAAGAGACATGGGGCAAACCAGCGGGAGAAAATAAGGTTTCTTTGTGGGGGGAGAAACAGCACCTCCCCCCCCCGCGCGCACACGGGAGAGCAGCAGCAACAGCTTCAGGAAGCCCAAACACACCCCTTTAAAAAGCGAGGTGCGGCAGAAACCAGAAACCCACCTGTCGCGGGGTTGAGGGGAGAAAAGAAAAGACCCACAGCAGGCACTTCCGGCCTCCTTCCCTCCTCGGGCACAGACTGACAGGAAGCTTAAAAGCGGACGCCTCAGGGCGGAGGGGCAGAGCCGGCCACGCCCCGCAATCCCGCCTCTGCCCAATCAGACGCCGCTATTTCCTCGAAGCCCCGCCTACTTTCTCCCACGCTGCCTCGCGCCTTCCCCCCCGTCCACCTCCCCGCTCTCAGGGGAGGGGGTGTGGGACAAAATGGCTTCAGGGGTAAGCCACGCCCAGGCGGCAAACAAGGCCGGCGGTGACGTCACCCGCGCGGGCGTGTTCCTCCTCCCTCCCCTTTCAACGCCCTCCAATACCGCTTCCTCCTTTCTTCCTGTCTCTTTCTGATTGGTTCCCGGGAGCTGCCCGTGATTTCCTATAACTACTTTGGCTGCGGGAAAACGCAGTACAGTAGTAAGAAGACGAAGTGCTGTTTTTCTAAAAAAATGTTTACTCTCCTTTTGACTCAAGACAATCACCGTTTTATAGTTCAAATCGGGAAAAATAAACACAGTAAATGGACAAAAGTACAAATATTCACAAAATGTTTAGGGGTCTGCGTCCCCCCCCAAAAAAACCAATAAAATAATAATGGCTTGAGAGCGTTATATCCGGACTGGATCTTTTTCAATAAATTGTTTTCTCGCCGGGTGTGACTCGAATTCAGAACGGGAGTGGCAGGATGTTAGTCTTTCCCAGCATACACACAAAAATTACTAATGTAAGACAGTTAATCTGTTAAAAATGACAAGCAAGGACTGTATGAGACTTGCACATGTAAGCATATGGTCTCAAACTGACTTTCTCTTATATGCTGTTTTATTGCGACGATGGCGACTGTACTACTGATCCTAAGCTGAATAGTTTAGTTGCCCAGCCCTGCTTCGGATCCACCCTTCCCGAACCCACAGCTCTCAACTGCCTCACCTGCAACATTCAAAGCCTCATCCAATCTTCACTCACCTCCAACATTCCACCCTCCCTCCCTCCTTAACGTTCCCTTAATAATTCCAATACAATCACCTTCGTCAGCCTGTTACACTGGTTTTCAATCAGTGAGCCGTGGCACCCTGGGGTGACTTCCAGGAGTGTTAAGGTGAGCCCTGGTTGGCTGTCCTTTCATTAACCTGCAGCCCAGATCTTCCTGCTTTCTCTTTCTTTCTCTCCGAGGCACATTCAGGGAGAGCCGGCAGCTTTAACTTGCAGCCCGTTATCTTCCTGCATCTCTTCCCTACCCGCCTCCCCCCGTTAATCTTCTTAAAATATCCCCACCACCACGAAAAAATCCTCCCCAGCTTCAGTAACTAACAGTTCCTCGGTTTTACAAAAAGGGCTTCAGAAATAATTAAGTAGTTTGATGGTGTGTGTGCCTGGGTGGATTTAAGGAGGAATTTAAAAATAACTCTGAAAGTGGGGTCTTTTATGTTTCTCCTCCTACCCCAAACATCCCTGCTCCCATTTCTTCTCTACCTACCCCACAGGCAACCCCCATCCCCCTTAACAGTTATCCAGCTTTGTTAGGGTTGCCATATTTCAAAAAGTAAAAACCAGGACACCCCAAAGTTGTTGAGGTTTGACTTGTCTAAGATCCAGGACAAGGCACCGCCTTTCAGAAATTCCGCCCAAACGTCAATTCCATCTGGGAAATCCCAGTAATGGCAGCCCTAATTGTGGGGACAGGCAGAATGTTGCAGTAAAGGACCGTGTCTGCATGTGTATCCTGTGCTGTGTGTTTCTCGCTTTCCTGCCCCGCAATAAGAAAGCATTTCTGCTTCTGATCTTCATCTTGTTTTTCCCTCTCCACCCCCAGATACACTCTAATTTCGGGAAAGCTTGGGGCTGCCCTGTGAAGCAGTGACGTAGCGTGGGTTGTCAGCACCCAGGGCAAGGCAAGTAATTTGCGCCCCCTAACCCGTGGATTTGCGCTAACCCCAGATGTTGCGCCCGGTGCGGCCGGCCCCCCCTGCACCCCCCACGCTACGCCACTGCTGTGAAGTATGTCAGCTCAGTCCTCAGCCGTGTGTTCCCACTTTACGCACATGCCAAAAATGGTGCCAAAAAGGGGAGGGGCAGAACAGGGGAATCCCCACTGGCTGTAACAAGACTCTATCAATAATAATAATAACAACAATAATAATAATAATAATAATAATAATAATAATAATAATAATAATAATTTTATTTATACCCCACCCATCTGTCTGGCTTACCCCAGCCACTCTGGGCAGCTAAAGGATGGAGCGGGGCCCTAAGATGCACTATGGTCTCATCCCACTACACTTTGACACCCCCCTTTATTCTTTATTATTAATACAGTTGCCTGACAACCCAGCAGCCTGACCCCTGTTTCCCAGCTGATGTCACAATGGGCAGGTTTGCAAGCAGGCATCATAATGCCCTGAGAGAGGGATGCCTGTCAGTCTGATGGTGATACACTTGCCAAGGCAAGTGCTGCCCATAAGTGATCATGAGCAGGAACTGTGAAGGTAAGAGGAGTCAGATGCCAGGTTCTCGAGCTGGGGAGGGACCCTGTGCATTGGAAATTGAAAACTAGGAGGGTGTTGAGTGTCACAGGATTGTGCCTTGACTTCAAGGGGAACGTTGGGGAGATGGGCTTTGCTCATGCTCAAATGTTAAGATTGCCACACAGGTTTTCCCACATATTGGAGGACAGGAAGGGATCCCCTGAGAACTGCCAGGCAAGGAATCTTTGGGCTGGCTTATGAAAACCACACCTAATTGAGCACTGATTGAGTCCGTTAAGCTAAGATGTAACGAATTTAAAATAGAGGATTGAGTAATGTGATTAATATTTATGAACCCAATGTTAGAGTTTTAAGGTAGCAAGAATGATATCATGCATGTGGCTGAAGGAAGTCACATGGGTATTTGGGTAAATGGTGAGCTGGGTATAGGGTTTAGGGTTCGATGTGGGGAATCTGTATATATAATATTATATACGTACTGTAATGTATAATGTTGAAAATGTACGACAACTAACATGTAAAATGAAATCAATAATAAATAAATAGAGGGAGGAGAAAAAAATAAAAATAAAACCACACCTGTGCTTCCTAGGCACATGAGCCCAATGGAAATATGCATGAGCCCTAAAAGTATGCTGTGTACGCAGTCTATGGTTTTAAAGGAAAGGCCTCTAACAGACCTTATCTGGCACAGGGCAGGAGCGTAGTGAGATTTATTTTGTATTATCTGTTTACACCATCACTGTGTGCGACCCTTTACAAAGAGGCTGCTGTCCTGAGCGGCTTAAAATCTTTAATTTGGCACAGGGAAGCAACAGGGAAAGGTTGAAGGTCCAAGGTTGGCTCCCGTGTCCTGCCAGGGTCTGTGAGTTTAGACTTCTGGGTTCCCCGGCACTTCCCATATATGATCTCTTTCTTTGCATTTATTTTCCTTTCTGTCTCCTAGGTCCTAAGGCATGAAGGTCAGAGAAGCTGCTGTGGCGGCGTGGACAAGCTGAGAAAGGAGAGGCCGCCATACCTCAAAGTGGCATCTCGCAGGTGACGGTCACTGTGATTTTTGCAGCAGGGAGAGAGTTTTGCTGCATGGTTCTCTTTCCGAGCTTAGCCCCCAACCCATGCAGGTATAAGGTGGGCACCATATTGGACATAAGAGTTTAACTGCAGGGGGGAGGAGGAAACGATTTCACAGCCATCACCAGGAGCCACTCTGCCCCTGTGTGGCTGCCGCTCGAGGTTGCTGCAAACACCTGGGTTGGGCCACTGTTTCCTTCTGATTCTCTGCAGGGATGTGTTCATGGGGGGTGGGACTGCAGCAAAGAGCCCCTTAGCAGCAGAGACGCTTTGCTTGCAGAAGATTCAACCCTTTGTATGAAGCATCAGGTAGCAGATTGTGGGAAGGTTTCTACCCAGTGGTGGCTGGTACCCACTGTGGTTTCCCCATTCACATGTGCAAGCCTTCACTTGAAGTTGCAGTGATATATGAAGCAGCTTGCCTCATCTGAACATCAGCTGCCGTTACAAGTTGAGCGTAACTGGAGAATGGAAGTAGTAGAACCTTTCTACATGAGATCAGAAAGGAAGGGCTCTAGCTCCTTGAGAAGTTAGTCAGCCAGGCTTCCTTTGGAAGTTATGGCATGTTAATTCTGTTGGATATCCAATCCCCACATATACCAGGAAGATACTATATCCTGCTTCCTTTGTGGGGCCATGCTTCCAGAGAATGGTCTCAGTCTCCAGCTCCCAAGATGATGGACAAGACGACAACCAAGCCATCCATGCAGTTCTTGGCTGCCATTTCTGGATGCCAGTGAGTCCTGAAGGAATCCTCAAAGAAAAATCTTGATCCTCGTGCCTCTTCTCCACTGCCCCTTCTCTGTGTGGGCATGGCTCCTTCTCTGACTTCTGCTGCAACCAGATCTTTGGTCCAGAAGCAGTGGCTCAACTTTTCTCTTCTGAAGACAACAGCGGGGAGCCCAGCCAGGCTAGATAGCTGACCATCTCAAGGCGGAAACATTGGCTTCTGAGTGAAACCGTCCAGGATGTAGCAGAGCCCACCCCATTGGCAGCAAAAGTGGGGAAAGGCCCTGAGTTCAGGTAGGAGGAAATGCTTCCTTCCCATGTCCTCCACCATCATGGCCCAGACTGGTGCTAGCATGGCTTGGAGCCAATATCTCCATTTGCTTTGCAGCAAGGGAAAGCAGCAGCATTGCTTTGGGAACCGCCTCTGTTGTCCCATCCTCATCCTGGGAGAGACTGGAGCCCAGAAGAAGGACAGATGACTGGGGCAGGAGGAAGAGGGGTCCTTATAAAACACATAAGAAGAGTCTGCTGGATCAGGCCCATGGCCCATCTGCTCCAGTATCCTCCTATCCCCATGGCTACCCAGATCCATGGGGAAAACCTGTAAGAACCCTCTTTCCAGCCATGACTTCCAGCAACTGCTATTCAAAAGCATTACTGAAAGGTTGCCCTTTCTGGATCCCAGCACAGCCCTTCCATGTCCGCAAAGGAATCTGCATGGAAACAGCTTTATGTTTGCACATCTTTCCCACTGCCCCTTGTCCTCATGGGCATGGTGCCCTCCCGGCCATTTGCGGCACTCGGATCTTTGGTGCAGAACTTGGCCCCTGCACCCTTACTAAAAGGACAACTCCGACGTTGGCACAAAGAAGTACTCCCTTTATAGACATAGCTGTCAACCTTCCCTTTTTTTGTGGGAAATTCCCTTATTCCAGCGCTGTTTCCGGCTGCTTCCCACTGCTATCCCGGATTGTTAGATATCCGTAGACTGTCCCCGGGACAGGTGAGGCTGCTGATCCCTTATTTTTGAGGCTGCTGATCCCTTATTTGCAAATCTGAAAGTTGACAGCTATGTTTATAGAGGTGCACCGTTGAAATAATATAGGTTTGTGCATGTAATACGTATATCAGAATGGAACATAAGGAAACCCTTCGCTCTGGAGGAAGATCTCTGTGTGTGGAGAGAAACACTCGCTTGAGTGCTCTTTTCTGGGTGGATTCCCCCTTTGTCTAGTCCTCTCCTTCATCCTATTTGCTGGATCATCTTTCTGAGCGAATTTTTTCATACACACACACCCCCCCCCTTGGCTGACCCTCCCTCCTGTCAGCTTTTTCATTTCTACTTCATTATTTTTGCATTTCTCTCCTCTCCCCACCTCCTGCCATCTGGGGAAGGGAAGAGTGTATAGGGGGTAGCTGGATTCTGCCCCAATTGTCAGGAGGAGTCCACAGAGGCAATGGGGCCAGAAGTTTGAGTTTCTCGCCCTTTTCTATTTTTTTTTTAAAGGCGGGAAACGCCATTTTCTTTCAACGACTTAGCCATTTGGTTCTCCTCCCTCCTGCGTGTGGAACTGGAGGGGCTGTTCAACTGCCTGCTGGGGGGGGGGTCTTCTTATGGAGGCCCCCAATGCTGCCACCCTCTTTCAACTGCTCAATGACCTCCAAAGCTACAGCCTCGGGGAAAGCGGAGAGGCAAAAAAACATGGCGGCCAGTGTCATCTCTGCGCTGCTGACCTTTGCCCAAAGATTTCTCCACTTCAGAAACACAGTAGCTCCGGCCGGAGTCAGCCTAACTCTGGCCGAATCGAAGCAAAATGACCTCATCCTCGAAGACTTGTAGTCTTGAAGGGGAAAAGGAGCAAACATGGAGTCAGCGATCGCAGCCCAAGAGACGGGGAACCAGGACACAGATTTCTTACACGGTGGGAAGAA